ACTGAGTGTGAGAAATATATTAATAATTGAAGTATGCAAAATTTCACGAAGATTGCATAGATTGCATATATAGGAAAGCAGTAAAATCTTGAATCTTAAGTTGGTGACAAAATTATGTGGGGTACTATGACATGACATTCAAGATGCAAAAAGAACTCATATCAACAGGGTATATTGATCACAAACACCGAATTAAGGTTGTAAACGTTGTATAAAATCGACAAATTCAATTTCCTTTTAATAGGTATCTACCTCACATAAATGAATATCACTTAATACCCATCACGGCTACCGGTAAGTCCACACCATACCACACTACCACGCGCGCTTTGTATCCGCACTGAGCGTTTTCTGCAAATAATTCAAATTCCTCGAAGATAAAATGTAACCTAAACCACTCTCCTCCATGTTTCACTTTCTCCATCGGAGAGCTTCTTCGATGATCAACGTATGTTGAAGCCAAATTGCTCCAGGCTGCCAAAGTGTTCTGATTCTTGCCAAATCAGATCTGAAAACTCACAAGAGAGATTACAAGAAAAATTGCTTGGAGAGATGTTTGCCCTTTTTTGATAACTTTTGAACCCATTGCTTCAAAAGGCCAAAAAGGAGGCATATCCCTGCTCAACAGTTTCCCTATTAGTTAAATGGAAGACCTTTTGTGCATGAGATAGCCACATACATGTATCATTGGAGTGGGTTAATTAACTTTATTTCAGCAGCCACCTCTGAAAGATACCTCAAATAATTGAAAATTAACATATCGATCGTATTTGATCATATGAGTGAAACTAGAATACCTGGGTCATTTTAGAATACTTAGGCAAGAGGGGAGCCAAGAACATTTGGATCTTCACAAACGTACCTAAATATCAATATCCGGTAAATAACACTTAGTTCAACACTGTCCTCATTCTGATTGAGTCCAATCTTTAGAAACGTGGCCTCGATTTCCGAAAGGGGGCCAAATCTTATACTTTAATTACGACGCAAGCCCAAACAATGTTGACCCATACTTCAGAGTCCGTCAATGATATCATCCACACGGGTTTCATGGCAACAAGGAGGCGCTGAACTAGGCGTTACATAATAGTTCTCTTACATTCTGATATTATCGAACGCGGCACATCATGACCAGCACATGACATTATGCCGGTTTAATGGGTTCTCTCAATCCTGGATATTACCCGTAAATATCATGTTTTAATATTGTATGTGATTATCTGAAAGCATTAAACCTACTGAAAGCTTCAACCGTTTGCTTTAATCATTTAAACAAAAGAGATGTGTCACGAACCTCATTTCATGTTCCTATATCGTTCATTCGGAAGTCGAACCTCTCCCATCAAAATAATAAAACTCATTTCTGAAAATAATTTGATCATGGGTATCCGTTTACCATGTTAACGTTAGTCTTGTTTTCGAAACAATTCATTGTGCAGACTCTGAAGTCAACATTGCAATCGGTTTATTTGGGAATGCAATTGCAAATTAAGTTCTTTAATTAAGTCCGTAATTCCTAACCTTTTGTAATTTTGGAAAAATTGAAGTCAATTTATATTTATAAGAAGTAGTCTTGATATTACAGGTTTTAAATAATCAAGTGTAACCAATTTTACACCTGCCTTTTATTTCATTTATGGATGTCACTTATCATTTGCATGTGCCAGTAACAATATACATGTACCACGCCCGGTGATCGGAAAGAATGAACGGAGTGGGGGGAAGCCGATTTCTATAAAAAAAATCAACAAACCTGTAAGATTTATTTTTCAAGAGAACGTTTGCGAATAAATCGCTAAAAGAATAGGTGCACAGTATGGCGAAATCTGTCAGGATGCTATTTTTTTATTTTTCTTAACTGATACACGTCTAAGGTGTGATATCTATAAAAAGGCGACGCTACCAATTTGAGTCAATGTTTTTGCTATAAATCAAGCAAGGGTCTACATGACCTGTAATAAATACTTGACAGTGATCATGACTTTATCATCACAATTGATAGCTCTTTCGTAAAGTACTCAAAGTTGTTTTACTATTTTAGTAGTTCTATTAACAATGTTGACAATTGAAAACTTCGAACGGTAACTTATATATACCTGACACCATTATCATGCGCAGATATATTGGTTGGATTCATTGTGATGGGTGCAATGACTGTTCATACCATATATGGTTATTGGCCCCTGGGAAGTACCACCTGTACCATCTGGCTGTTGTTTGATTTCTGCTGAAACATTGCAGGGCACACATTGCCGCCATTTTTATGCAAATCTCCATGGTACATGTATGTAATTCTTCCAGAACGGTTTACATTCTCTTCGGGTCTATGCCCTATGATGAAGAAAAGGAATGCCAACATTGGAAAAATCCTTTTAATCAGGATCAATTTTCATGATTTTATATTCCTGGTACTTCAGAACAAAACAATTCTACCAAGGAGGCTTTGTGTCAGAGACGTAAGCAACAGCAAAGCGCATCGCAGATGTTTAGTATCGTAAATGCCTGTTTTTTAATTTCATGTTTTTAAAAAGGAATCAAAATGAAATCCCACCCACTGTCATCTCTGCGCTCGTGTGAAAAATACAAATTACGCAAAATACCCTAATGCTATGATAAACTTATAATTATCCTTCATAAAGATCAAATATGGTAAATATAATGAATATAACATCGAAATATCAGGAATTAGTGAGATGTAACAAAGTTTACGAAATCAATTTACGTCCATTCCCTCGCCCCTTCTTCAAATAAAGGTATACACGAGAAGATCAAAGGTCCGCGGAGGGAAAAGAAATAACAACTTTCAAGTGTAAATCGAACATTCCAATAAGTGCATAACGAACCACAAATTAATCCTAGTGGAGTCAGTTAGGTGTTCAATTGCACATGATATATATATATATATACAAGTATATATAACACCATCTTTTTGACACAAGTATCATTAATACATATAATTTTGATATCTAACGAAGTGGTGTTGAAAAGTGACCCCAGTTGATAATAGCAGGCCATTGAAAATTTTACACATTTACATTGAGCTCCATTTTATCAATCTTCAAAATACCCCATCCAGAACAGTTTTAGAGTAATGAAGTCCATATTTCTAGTACTGGTACGTTACGATACCATGATTATTTTCAAAATAAAAAAGGGTTAAATTGTTTCTTTTACCTAGTTCTAAAGATATTGGCGTTTGAATTCCATAGTCCATAGTCCACTATGGGATTTTTTAATATTGTAGATTTCTATAGTTAATTTACTTATTTTAAAAAATTCAAAATGCACATTTCTGAAAACTTCTAATTTTTAATATATTTAGCCGTAAAAACCTAAATTGAGCCCCATGATAATTCATCAATATTCAAAAGACCCCCCGAAGAACAGCTCAAAAGTGATAAAGACCATATTCCTAGAATGTTACAACAACATGATTATCTTCAAAATAAGAAGGGCTGAATCTTTTCTTTTACCTAGTTCAAAAAATCCTCATTGGCTGGCATTATAAACCGCTAACAATATGGCTTTATTAAAGTGTTCTTTTCTGAAAAGTTCACAATTGACTCTCAAAAGAATCCCAAATAGCCAACATCAAATCAAACAAATGGTTTTATAGTGTACAAATAGTGACTGCCATTGAGGGAAATAGTGCAAAATATTTTCCTCAAGGGAATATCCTGTCCACTGACATGTTCCCGAGGCTGCAGGCCGAGGGAACAAGTCAGTGGACAGGATATTCCCGAGAGGAAAATTTTTACACTATTTCCCGAAAATGTGGCAGTCACTATTTGTTTTATTATATACCTGATAAGTACTCTGTAAACAAAAACAAAATGAGAAGTCTTTTCATTTCAATATCAAATGTTCACAGGTTCTTATTGGCATTTAAAGGCATTTTACCTTTCAACTCCTATAATCTCAGATTTGGGGGAAGATAAAATGTACTATTGACTGGTCACATGACCTAACTGGTGATTAGTACAATTCATCTTCCCTGAAAGCAGGGATTTAGGACTTTCCAGGGAATTAGTTCATCTATTCCATGTCATGTGACCATGAATAAGCCAATGAGCATCTAGAATACATTTGAGGTATATAATAAATCGTCATAATAGCTCTCTATTTCGGCACTCTTCATTTATTGTAGTTGTCAGAAACCTTTGTATTCAACCTTTTTTAGAATATAGATTACATAATCCTAAATAAACTGTACTGTAATTATCTGTTTGAATAGATAAATACGACCAAGTAATATTATGGAAAGGCTGGATAACAAAGGATTGGCGCATATAATTCTCTGAAAGAATATTACACGGGGAATAATACATCCTACTACATTTTGTTATGTAAATGTGTAAATATCCGTAAATAAAACATTAAATTAAATATTATTTTATCAATTTCACCAAGTGCTTTACAATTACTCTGAGACTGACATACCACATCTCTTATTGCAGAAATAAGGTACTGCCATCTTTCTGAACATAATCACTACACCATAACACTTTTGCATCCTTGTGAGAGGTCAGCAACACTTGCTTTCCAATACTGATTTACTTGTAAGTTACAATTATACGTTAAATTATAAGAAATAATTTGAATGATCTCCTGAGAAGATAAACACATTTTCCGTGTCCAAACTTGAATCCAAAACATGTGCAATCGGGTTTTCAGAGTCTCTCTCCCCATATGCTCGTGAGAAGCTAAAGGAATAGTCCAGGCTGTGGATCCCGTCATGCGAATGTTGGGATACTCAGATTATGATCCCTTATCTCATATTTTGCACAGGTAATTGTACCGACACATACCTTTAGCTCAATTTCGTGCCATTCCAACTACATTTATTGAGATAATCTTAAATTTCAATTTTATATTTAAGTATGTAACTTTATTTAGAAAGTATATCATTGTAAATATCTTGAAAATGACTATATATTGGGTTATCTTTATTACTTATGATTTATTTGTGAAGGATTCTAAGTGAATGCCAAATAAACACACGGTCATATACTAACTTGCCAATTCGGTATAACGAAGAGGAATACACGAGAATTAGTACATTATAGGCTTATCACGGGTAGTATCTAAAGCCCCGCTATGATTTAAAAGTCGCGAGCAAGTTCCCGCTGAAATCGCGAGCAATAAAAAGAAGTCATGGGTTCTTTTTTGTGTTCTTGAATTGTATGATTTACAAAACGTTTTCTTTTAATTTTTCCCAATAATTACATGGTATTGAGACTAAAAAAGCAACTGCTGGAAAAAATGTATCACGAGCGGTCGTTCTGTGGTTCGTTATTTGTCAATTGAAGAGAGAAAGTATCATTTTGAATCTTTATCTATATATTTCTATACGTTATTGGTGAAGAACGATGTTGTCCTGTGGTTGAAATGACGATAGTGATATGAAATAAAGATGTACCGAGTTTCACTTCCTAAAGCTTTACAGAACATTTTATATTTAAATTTTATCATATCCTTCAAGGCCCCACTTCTAGCAGGAGCAATTAAGCAAAGATCCCGCTGAAATCAGGAGGAGGCCCCGCTGAAAACATGAGGAGGTCCCGCTGAAAACAGGAGCAAGTGTCTCTCAAAAATGGAGTGAATCCCGATTATACCCTGAAAATCTCCCACTTTCGTACCCACCTTGATCCACTATTGTACCCAGTTTGATGAATACATTATTTGTCAATACAATTCTCAATAACAGCAAACACAACTGTTTAATATAGTTCATATTATGATATGTTGTTATGGAAAACTGCAGTATCATATTTCCATGCCATTTTCCAGAATAAGAAAGATCATCTGAGAAATGTGATGAGTATTAGATCGGACGAAATGTTAAACATTTAACCTCATTTTCATAATTTGAAGTAATATAAGTTATTGAATGCATGATTTGAAGTGCAATATAGGATATTTTATGCTCAAAAAATTCTGTATTGGCACGAGATGAAATAAAGTGGAAATACAGCATATCGAGAGCACAATATATCCTATGTTGCGCTTCAAATCGTTGTATAACGTTTTTATCGTGTGATCTTACGACATAGTCCATAGGAAATATTCTGTATTCTCTGTATTGCAACTGTCCCCTCTGTTCCATCTTTGAGTACAAGTCGATATTCAGTAAGATACACGAATAAGCGTGCGTTTAGGTCAACCTAAAATGATTTAGTCAGAATAATGTTTATGAATATCATTCCTATATCAATCTCCTGTTGCTTACTTGCTTGCTCGCTTCCTCCCTTCCTTGCTTCTTCGCTTCCTTCCTTCCTTGCTTCCTGGCTTCCTTCCACGCTTCCTCACATCCTTCCTTCCTCGCTTCCTTCCATCCTTGCTTCCTTCCTTCCTCGCTTCCTTCCTTCTTTGCTTTCTTGCTTCATTCCTTCCTTGCTTCCTCACTTCATTCCTTCGCTTCCTCCCTTCCTAGCTTCCTTCCTTCCTCACTTCCCTCCGTTCTTTCTTGCTTCCTTCCTCGCTTCCCTCCTCGCTTCCTTCCTCGCTTCCTTCCTTCCTCCCTTCCTTGCTTCCTCGCATTCTTGCATCCTCCCTTCCTCGCTTCCTTCCTTCCATCCTTGCTTCCTTTCTTGCATCCTCCCTTCCTTGCTTCCTCACTTCCTTCCTTCTTCGCTTCCTTGCATCCTTTCTTCCTCGCTTCGTTCCTTCCTTGCTTCCTTCCTTCCTTGCTCCATCGCTTACTTCCTTCCTCGCATCCTTCCTTCCTTGCTTCCTCGCTTCTTTCTTTCTTCGCTTCCTTCCTTCCTTGCTTCTTTCCTTCCTCGCTTCCTACCTTCCTTTCTTCCTCGCCTCTTCTTTTCTTGCTTCCTTCCTTCTTTGCTTCCTTCCTCGCATCTTTCCTTCCTCGCTTGCTTCCCACCTTGCTTCCTCGCTTCCTTCCTTCCTCGCTTCATTCCTTCCTTGCTTCTTCGCCTCTCTCTTTCATCGCTTCATTCCTTCCCTCCTTGCTTCCTCGCTTTCTTCCTTCCTCGCCTCTTCTTTTCTTGCTTCCTTCCTTCCTTGCTTCCTCGCTCCCTTCCGTCCTCGCATCTTTCCTTCCTCGCTCCTTCCTACATTGCTTCCTTGCTTCCTTCCTTCCTTGCTTCTTCGCTTCCTTCCTTCCTCGCTTCCCTCGTTCCTTCCATCCTTTTTTCCTTTCTCGCTCCCTTCTTTCCTGCTTCTTTGTTTCCTCGCTTTCTTCATAAATTTCTTCCTCACTTCCTTTCCTCCGTCCTTCCTTGCTTCATTCCTTCCATGGTTCCTCGCTTGCTTTCTTCCTTGCTTCCTTCTTTCCTTCCTTCCTCGCTTCCTTCCTTCCTCACTTCCCTCCTTCATTCCTTGCTTCCTTCCTTCCTCGCTTCCTTTTTCCTCCTTCCTTGCATCCTTGATTCCTTCGTTTTTTCCTCGCGTCCTTCCTTTTTTGCTTCATTCCTTCCTTGCTTCCTCGCTTCCCCCCTCGCTTCCATCTCTCCTTCTTCCTTGCTTCCTCGCTTTCTTCTTTCCTTGCTTCCTCGATTCCTTCCTTCCTTACTTGCATCCTCCCTTCCTTGCTTCCTCCCTTCCTCACTTCTTTCTTTTCTCCTTCCTTGCTTCCTCGTTTCCTTCATTCTTTCCTCGCGTTGTTCTTTTGTCGCTTCATTCCTTCCTTGCTTCCTTCCCTCCTTGCTTCCTTGCTTTCTCGCCTTCTTCCTTCTTTCCTTACTTACTTCCTTCCTTGCTTTTTTCCTTCCTTCCTTTCTTGCGTCTTTGCTTGCTTCCTTCCTTCCTTGATTCATCGTTTCCTTCCTTCTTTGCTTCCTGACTTCCTTTCTTCCTCGTTACCTTCCTTGCTTCCTTCCTTGCTTCCTCAGTTTCTTCCTTCCTTGCTTCCTCGCAACGTTCCTTCCTTGTTCCCTCGCTTCCGTTCTTTCTTTCTTCCCCAGTTCCTTCCTTCCTTGCTTCCTCACTTTCTTCCCTCCTCGCTTTCTCGTCTCCTTGCTTCCTTGCTTCCTTCTTTCCTTCTTTGCTTCCTCGCGTCCTTCCTTCCTTGCAATCTTTCCTTCCTCACTTCCTACCTTGCTTCCTCGCTTCCTTCCTTCCTCGCTTCATTCCTTCCTTGCTTCCATCCTTCCTCGCTTCCTTCTTTCCTCGTTTCCCTCTTTCCTTCCTTGCTTTTTTCCTTCCTCGCTCCCTTCTTTCCCCCTTCTTTGCTTCCTCGCTTCCTTCACAAATTTCTTCCTCACTTCCTTCCTTTCTTCCTTCCTTCCCTGCTTCATTCCCTTCTTCCATGTTTCCTCGCTTCCTTCCTTGCTTCCTCGCTTTCTTCCTTGCTTCCTCGCTTCCTTCTTTCCTTGCTTCCTCGCTTCCTTCCTTCCTCACTTCCCTCCTTCCTTGCTTCCATCCTTCCTCGCTTCCTTCTTTCCTCATTCCTTGCTTCCTCGCTCCTTTCGTTTTTTCCTCGCATCCTTCCTTTCTCGCTCCATTCCTTTCTTGCTTCCACGCTTCCATCTTTCCCCCTTCCTTGCTTCCTCGCTTCCTTCTTTCCTTGATTCATCGCTTCCTTCCTTCCTCACTTCCCTCCTTCCTTCCTTGCTTCCTTCTTTCTTCACTTCCTCCTTTCCTCCTTCCTTCTTTCCTCGTTTCCTTCATTCTTTCCTCGTGTCCTTCTTTTCTCGCTTCATTTCTTCCTTGCTTTCTTCCCTCCTTGCTTCCTTGCATTCTCGCCTTCTTCCTTCTTTCCTTACTTACTTCCTTGCTTTTTCCCTTCCTTTCCGTTGGTCTTTGCTTGCTTCCTTCCTTCCTTGCTTCCTCGTTTCCTTCCTTCTTTGCTTCCTGGCTTCCTTTCTTCCTCGCTTCCTTACTTGCTAGCTTCCCTGCTTAATTCTTTACTCGCATCGTTCCTTCCTTGCTCCCTTGGTTCCTTCCTTCCTTTCTTCCTCAGTTGCTTCCTTGCTTGCTTCCTCAGTTTCTTCCCTCCTCGCTTTCTCGTTTCCTTGCTTCCTTCCTTCCTTCATTGCTTCATTGCTTCTTTCCTTCCCTCCTTCCTTCCCTTTTCCTTCCTTGCTTACTTATATTACTCCCACCTTCACTTCTTCGATTTACTTCCTCCATTCCTTCTTTACTTGCTTGCTAACTCAATTACTTACTTCGTTGCTTGTTTACTTCCTCACGTCCTTGCTTGCTTTCTTGATTATTTACATTCTTTCATATGGCAGTGGAAAGACAAATTTTGATGAAAACCTGCAAACGAGCAAACGAACGAGGAAAGAACGCACGGATGGACAGAAGAACAGCCGAAAAAACAATGAATGAACAAACGGACGGATAGGCAGCCAAAAGAACGCATGAAGGAAAGATAGAAGAAAACAATTTACAAAAGATCGAACCCACGCACGCAAGAACGTAGTTACAAACGAACGCACGAATGAAACGCACGCACGAACGAACACACAAACGAACGCAAAAAGAACGAACAGACGAACGCACGCATGAATGGACGGTTGAACGAAAGCACGCACGGACGAACGGACGGCTAGACGGACGAACCCACGAACGAAAGGGCAGTCAGACGAAAGCAAGCACAAACGGACGGTCAGACGAACGCATGCGCACACAAACGGACGGACAATCGCACGGATGCACGCACGAACGAACGAATGGACGGTCGGACTAACAATGCCACGAACGCATGATTGGGCGATGCACGCATGAACGATCAATCGGTCGGATGAACGCACGCATGAACGAACGGACCGTCGGACGAACGCACGCACGAACGAACGGTCGGTCGAATGCACGCACGAATGAACGGTCGGACAAAGAAACCAATGAAATATATGTGTCCTCAGAAGTATAATCCTTGGAATAGTTAATTATGTAGAATGTACATTTAACTCCGAAATGTACAAAGTCTATTTACATATAAAAATTTGATCATGCCGCTGACAGATGGATTAGACTGCCTGAAGTTGAAGAATATTTTTGATGTTGCCATAGAATGATATGTTATGTGATTGTCATTAATACGTTATTTGCACATTCGTGTACGTTCATATAAAGAAGCTCACTATATTCATGGAATAATGATGAAGCTTTCCTCGTGATCGAAGCGGGTAGTCGTGAAATTTGCTCGTGTTTTCAGCGGGGTCTCCTCATGTTTTCAGCGGGGCCTCCTCATTTTTTCAGCGGGGCCACTGGAACACCTTTAATAATGTATTTCGACCCCCATGGCAGGTGTCATTGTCCAGTAACTTATCAATACAGACCATCTTGATCCGATATTTATTATGGAGTATGTAAATCGTATTTATTGCCTTTATTTTAACGATAAAGGTAATATATGAACAGTAAATTATGCAAACGTGCATGTTGACGCCCCTTTCCTTCATGCAAGTAAAAAATAATCATTTTTCATGTCATTTTTTGTCAAATATATCTGTTTTCAAAGTTTTGCTGGAGTATCAAAGAACGGTAATAAGTATTTTCATCCTTTTGGTTCATTTTCCAAAGTGATACAAATAAACAGGACTATGCTCGCGATTTCAGCGGGAACTTGCTCGCGACTTTTCAATCATAGCGGGGCTTTAGATAATACCCGTGCTTATGCTACACATGTACTGGTATTTGCACATTAAAAAGGAGGTGTCCTCATATGAATATACAGGTATGAGAAGTTTTATTGAATGGTATTGACAATATGAGTCATTATCACATGATCTGATCTGTAGTCTGCATTGATCATCTCCGTCGCAATACAGAAAATATTGGTATGGAGAGGACATTCTCAGTAGCAGAGGATCACACGATAAAAACGCTATAGAATGATTTGAAGTGCAATACAGGATATATTCTGCTCTCGATATTCGTTGCACCGGGAATTTCTCGAGCAGAATATATCCTGTATTGCACTTCAAATCATTCAATAACTTATAGTAAAGGTAGGTTGGCCTTTACATGTTTTCTATGTAGTAAACGCAGAGTATAAGGACAACATGTTACTGTACGATGCATAAGTACATGTAGTTATAAACAAACCTATAATATCATATGTCTGTTTATACACTGTATTCCGACAAACACATGAATGATTAAAAATAGCCTATAGCTTAATTCAATATCAATATTGTTCACAGTTTCAACATAACCTCAACATTGTGAATTTCATTGCAATGCATTTATCAGGAAGTCAACATTAAAAAGCATTAATCATCGACCAAAATGGCCGGACTGTCTGAGCAAGAGATTGTTGGGTACAGAGAGGTGTTTGATATGTTTGACAAGGATGGCAGTGGATTTATTTCTTCTGGTGAACTAAAGGCAGCGCTTGAACAAATGGGTCACAGGCCCTCGGATGATGACGTACAGGTAATAAACTGGTAAGAAAGTCAAGCTTCACGTTTAAGGTCCCATGCTACTTAAAAGGAAATGACAAAACAGGAAGTGACAAAACCATGCTGGATTTTAAACATTTTTTGAACCAAAATAACAGAATTCTGTTTTGACCTCCAGTCAATTTAACTAGTTTCACATGTCATTTACATGACCAGGATCACAATGTACATGGTCAGAATGATATAATAATATATGGAATTCTATATAAGGCCATAAGAAGTAGATTCTTTGTTTTGCGTCCCCTTGCTTGCACGATTTTGAGTAAATCAGAAAAAACAAACACATTCAAATAGCAATCACAAGGATCTGAATCAGACGTCAATCAGAATCAGACGAAATGGCAGATAATTTGATGTGCATCAAAATTGACAGTGGTATTAATAAGTTTGGCATACATAGTGTATTTTCTTATTTTTTACCCTTGAATAATAGCTATGTTTAAATATATTATATAAATGTATAGATATGTGTTTGTTATCACTACAAATTGGTATGTCATCCCTTTTTATGCCCATAAAATGTATACAATTCTCAGCAAACAAGTTTGTGTTTTTTCTTGAGTTTGTGTTTGTTTTCCTTGTACCCTTGTATGATTTTGATTTTGCCAGGACGCAAAACAAAGAATCTACTTCTTATGGCCTAATGTATAATAAAATTAATTTACGTCGAGCATCGCCTGTATGTACAGGGTGTCAGAAAAACAGGACCGTAAGAAAGTTGAATAATTCGGTCAATTTTGCATATTTTGCCTTAAAATTTTAGAATTATTTAGTTCATTTCAGTGTGAATTTTGTTCTGAAAGTTTGATGATAATCTGTCAATTGTTTCAAAAACGACAGTACTTTACAAAACATGCTCAAAGTGGGCACTTCTCCTCTTATGCACAAATGAATCCTGCAAACAAAAATGTTAATGACTCTGACCTATACACATCAATGTGGATGGTACATATGTGGTACTTATTGCCCTCTTAAGATTGTTAGGGGCCTGTCAGTACACACATTAGCTTTGAGAAAGCGACTGATGAGCTGACCATTTCAGTATATCATTTGCAGTTTTGGGGTGGTATTGGCTTGTTGAAACCACTGCCTATCTCCTAAGATGCCCTCTCTGGTGCTTAGTGACCCCCAAAAGATAGTGAGAACTTGACTATACTGGTCCTTGTTCATGGTGATAACACGTTGCCAGTCATCTTCGAACCAAAGAGGACTGATAATTCCATGTTTGCTCATTGCCACCCAGGCAGTGCATTGATTATTATCAAACAAATTTCACATTGCATGAACTAAATAATTCAGAAATTTCGAGGCAAAATATGCAAAATTGACCGAGATATTCAACTTTCTTACGGTCCTGTTTTTCGGACACCCTGTACACGGTGGTCCCAAAAATGGGACACTCGTATTTCAAAAATAAATATTGATGTTATTGATGAAAACATATCATACTGTATACCAGTGGATACGGAATTCGATTGTCTTTAATTTGGTATATCATAAGTTCAAATTTATTATAATGCCCGTCAACCTGCGTCTATAATACAAATGACGTAATTTCCGTTTCAAAACGGTTTTTCAAAAATGCAAAAAACAGTTTTCTCTCAACATAAACAGATGTTTAATTTATGTCCACCATTTTGCAATTGATCAATTAAAGCCCTCAATCGTGTCATAAACTGGTCGAAAGCATCATTGATATGCTTTTGAAATAATTAATTCCACTTCTCAACAATTCTGCCCTGATGAATAGATGTAAGGGGTTCATGGTACACCAACTCTGTTAGTTCCCCCCATACGTGGTAGTCGCAGAAGTTGCCATGGTGTGAACTGGGAGAGCCTACACAAAGGACTTATTCCTGATATCATATACCACAGTGTATACGGATCATTATATTTTCCAACAAGATAAGACTCCAAGCCTTATTCAGTCAAATGTTTAAAGAATAATGTTCCTCGATTCATTTCCCCTAATCACTGGCCTCCATGTCAGATCACCCGATGCCAACGTCTGCGACTACCACGTATGGGGAGAACTAACGAAATTGGTGTATCATGGACTCCTTACATCTATTCAGTCCCTAAGGACAGAATTATTAAGAAGAGAAATTCATTGTCTCAATAGCATATTAATAATCCTATTGACCAGTTTAGGCCGAGATTGAGGGCTATAATTGATCAAAATAGAGGACATATTGAACATCTGTTTGACATGTAATTTGAACTTATGATATACTAAATTAAAGATAATGAAATTCTATATCCACTGGTATATAATATGACATGTTTTCATCAATAAAATCAATGTTTATATCTGAAATACGAGTGTCCCATTTTCGGACCACTCTGTATATTTATGCAACAGGCAAGATGACGTCAACAATGTTAGTATTGGTCTGTACATTTATATATCTTTTCATTTTAAGGAAAGATTCTGACAGACAGAACACTACTGCCATTGTTTTCTTGATCGAGCCCCCTTTTATAAAACTGCATCCTACTCTCTATCGACTCCTATAGTCTCTTATAGATTCGCACGCATGTCATTATTCATTGTTAGGCGATGCTCATAGAGGTTGACGCTGATGGTAGTGGTACGATAGACTGGGGAGAATTCTTGCGTATGTTCCAGAAGAAACCAAGAAAACAGCACAAGTGAGGACACAATGCATCTTACTTATCACTAAATATATCATTAAATATATGATCGGATAGGTATCCTCTCTAGTCTCCATGTTTATCTTGTCAAAATTCACCTGTCTAGATCACGGTCCACATCCCGCTCCGTATGATATGGTCCGTTCGTGTGCTAGAATACGATCCCTTCGTGAGACAAAGAGGCCAAAATTGACAAAATGTCAGGAAAAAGTAGGAAACAGAGCGAATTTTGATATTTTGTGAATGGTTAACTATAGGCAACATAATTACCTATGAATTCATGAAGAAAGCAAGAAAAAAATATCAAGGCTTCATAGGTGAAAATAGGTCGAACATAGACTTTTCACGACAGAATACACTTCAATTGCAATAATTCTTTTATATTACCGTATACATATCTAATTTCGTGCAATTTATAAAGTACATGCATTAATGCGTGCGACTGATAAACAAACATGACGTAATACATCACAAAAGTACATGAAAATGTGGTTTAAAACTCGAATAGAAGGATCCGACCCTACTACAGCTAGGATTCGACCAAGTCGTGTGAGGATAATTTGGGGACTCCGACCATGTCCTGTTAATAGTTCCATCTTTTCGTGTTCTTTGCACGACTAATTAACGCCCCAGTGCTAAGATTGATTTGTTCAAAAGTAAAATCAAAAACAAATCTTGAAAGTTTAATGACTTCAATACAACTTCTAAACTCAATCTTTCTCTAAAACAAGAAATTACCTAGAACAAAATTAGATGCGGACTCTAATTTGAATCACAAAAGATTGCTCATGATTTCACTAACACAGCTAATCTAATTGTCTGCGGTAAGAGTACAACTCCTAAACATTCGATTCTGCAATGTAAGCGCCATTCAACCCAAAGAAAAAACCTTTTAAGAAACCCTTGAGCAGCAAAATCTTGAGACCCATCTAATTGAACAAGACAAAACTGAATTTTTAATTTTCAAAAACTCATTTTCAATTGAACAGGATTCTCGATTAAAAGGAAGGCTCGTTGATTTATTCTTAGCTTGGCCTAACCCATTTTATTCTGACATACTTTTCACCATTAAGTTAGCACAATTGTATGTATAACTCACTCAATTAATTTGATTTATGTTCATTCCAAAACGCTAGCCTGTAATGCACATTGCGCTAGGCAGCGACTTGTGTAACTTTTTTACTGTAATATAATTTGAAATAAATGTATAATGAACTGAAAAAATCTTTTCGTGTTTTACGTATACAAAAAAATATATATTCAAATTGGCATGCATATATACGATCATTGTATCATATAATTTATTTTTGTATATGCCATCCGTTTCAACATGAACTGGTCTGCTTGGACGACTGGATAATTCATGAGAATAAGTTGGCTTTTGGGGTGTGGATGTCGATGGTAGTTCATTTTTATTTTCGTCTAAATAAGTGTCCGTTTCATTCTGTATCGGCACTTTTAACGACATCTAGAAAAGATAAACAACCATAATTAGCTATTGAGCTTTAATACACTGACTCTAGTGTAATAGATATATTAACTTCCATGTATTTAGTATGGTAACTTTAAAATATGTTCATGGTATTTATTGGTTCAAAACACGACAATATGGAGCTCAAAACACGGTAGGGTCGGAAATGAAACACGGTAGGATCGTAAGAGAAACACGCGTGGGTCGGATCCATTCTAAACATTTAACCTGCAGAGTCGGATCCTCTTCTAATTTGCTTTTGACCATTTTAAAATCAGTATATACCAAGAAACATTCAATTGGCGTTATTTCATCGATCAATATATACAAAGGCTTCATTTGATTTACATAATATACCACAATGTAGTATATTTGACACGTAAATGACGATAAGGAAGCAGAAACTCACTCTCTTCGCATGTAAATCGTCACCACAAATAAATCCAATGTTTTTGAGCATTAGACAACTTTTTTCAATTTAATATTCATATATTTATCAATTTAAATCGCGCAGTATAAATGTAAACTCAAAGAATACTCTAATAATATAACTCACCTCCGAATTTCCTCCCTATAGAGGCGGTATGGTCGGATCTTGTGCACACGAACGGACCATATCATACGGAGCGGGATGTGGACCGTGTAGATATTTATTTCTGATCAGATCATTTCATGACCTCGATAGATTTTCTACGTGTGTAAAATGGGCGTATTGTGTCTATTGACTTTTTAATAACCTTGACTCCCATTTGATAGTGCTGTATGTGTTTACGAGGATCCTAGCTATTTATTTTACATACATTACATTGAGCTTTTGGGTCACCTATATCTGAAGCGACATTGTCATTGTCTGATTCCAATTGTCATTTGAACATGTAAGAACTGTTAATAAAAAGAACACTGTTCTTGATCGAAACTCTACATGTACTAACCATGCATTATTTTCTGCTATCCTAATCTTGACAATTTGTTCACTATTGATATTAAAGGGAAGCCAATCTCAGGAAGGCATTCAAAGCCATGGATAAGGACAAAAGTGGAGACATATGTATTGCAGAGGTCCGACAGTTCCTCAGAGACAATGGTATCGGCGAAGATATCGTCCCAGATGATAAACTAGACGGAATGATTGCTGAGGTTGATTCATCCGGTGATGGAAAGATATCTTTTGAGGAATTCTTGACAATGATGAACGCTTAAGATGCATCATTTTGATTGATATATATCATACGTATTATTGGATAGCAGTTGACATTCAAAGAGAAGATTTTCCAAATGTTTCATCTGTAGACATTTGGATCTTAGTCTCGCTTCCTTGTTTCGTTTTGTAGCTGCTAAGGTTGCATTGTTCCCCCAAATACTTTCATAGACATAGGGGATTGAAACGGTTTGTTGTAGTAAAAACGTAGAGTGAAATAAAATATATGTTTCACAAAGCTTGGTGTGGCAATCTTTGTACTATTTCTTACAGTGGTGGATATGTTTATGCATTAGCGACGAGGCTAATTGCACCCCGGGATTGCACGTGAGTTATTGGTCACCCTACTATCACACCAAACTAGTTCTCACTACGTTCTTGAAAACGGGCTTAAACTGTGCACGAACGGATTTGACGTACTAAGAACCCACTAAGAACCGTTTGGGATCTGTTTACAAACTTCATGAAACTACTAGAACGACTAGGTCCTCCAGAACTTGGAGCATGCTAAAAAAATTCTGGTGATCGTCAAAACGTTGCCGAATCGGTTTTAAACTGTATGCGAACTGAATGAACGTAGCTACAACGTTCTACGGTCTGTTTACGAACTTCATGGACTTTCCCGGACGGGGAATGTGATTTAGAATTTTGAATCGATTCAAAATTCTATGGCGACCATACCGTTCTGTAATCAGGTCATAATGACCTTCTAGACTAAAGGACGCGTTATACGACGTTGCACACCGACGTGGTGCGACCTGAACGAACTGGGAATGAGATGGACATATTGAAGACTGTTTATGAACGAAGTAGCTAATTATTTTAGACATATTTCCCGACCTCAGCCAGATTGAGTCCGTTTTACGACGTTTTCGTAGGACTGGCAAGAACGGGTAAGAACTAGTTTGGTGTGATAGGGGGGTCACTGAACCAAGAGTCTTTAATTGTTCTATTCAAGGACGTCCTTGATCTATTCATGTTTTTGTGTACATAACAATTTTGTTTTTCTTCATTCAATATTTAAACGACATTATCATACACATATTAAACAAATATTTCCCAATAAGATATCTAAATGATAGGTATAGTCGTGCAATTGATCTAATTCTATTAAGCCTCTAGTAGTGCCACTTTCTGACTTTAATCATAAGATGATTAAATGCTGATTCATTCATTAATCTATTCATGTTCGGTCTACATATAAAGGCCGTAGCCAGAGGGGGAGCTGGGGGAGCGGAAGCCCCCCCCCCCCCTGGCCAGAAATTCTTTCAAAATCATGCAGTATTTCACCATTCTGAGAATTTTTCGCATGATTTTTAGCCAAAATTGTGAACCCCCCTGGCAGCAACCATAGGATAAATAGGATATCCTATAATTTTCTCGGGCTATCATTTGTATATCCACTCATGGATATCACCCATATATGTAATGTTACGTGGCACATGTGTTTTTCCTCAACGCCATGCGATAAAGATTTCAGGACAGAAAATCCAAAATGGCTGCCTTGACATTTACCCAGAATGCCAAAAAACTAATCAGTTCTAGATTTTCATACTAAAAATCATCCCTGAAAATTTGAAATTGATCTACAAAACGGTTCACCTGAAAACGTGTAGACAAGACTTTACTGACAAGATTTTAGGACGGAAAATCTAAAATGGCCGCCTTGACATTTACCCAGAATGCCAAAAAACTAATCAGATCTAGATTTTTGTACTAAGAATCATCCCTGAAAATTAAAAATTGATCTACCAAACGGTTCACCTGAAAACGTGTAGACAAGACTTTACAAACAAGATTTTAGGACGAAAAAAATGCAAAATGGCCGACAATAAAAAAGTGATAATGAGTTTTTGCTGATTTCTTTTTACAAAATTATCACATATAACTACCATTAACAATAACATAGGCTTTTACAACAAAATACACCTGAAAGTATTTATAAAGCTACAAAATAGTTAAAGTATGAAAACTCAAAAACACCATTCAATATGATACAAAGTATTATCGCACGCTTACTTTTCTTAAGACATTAAAAATGGCTGCCATGACTGAGCTAACAGGTCCAAAACCTAATCAGATGTAGAATGAAGTGAGCTGAACAAGATGTTAAAGTTTGAAAAGCAACTGTGAAGCCGTTTTCCTTAAAGTTTGCGGACAAGGATTTTAGCATTTTACTTCAAAATGGCCGACAGGAAGTAGGTATCGAGTTTAAAAAATTTCATCCACATCTGTATGCACTCATAAGTTATCCCTGAAAATTTGAAGGTGATATCTGTAGCGGTTGTGGAGAAAACTGCCGGACGTACGGACGGACAGACAGACAGACAGACAGACAGACAGACAAACAGACGGACGGACGCGCCTAGGCCGACAATATGCCCCCACACTATGTGGTGGGGACATAAAAACGCGACTATGGGCCAAAATAAACAGAAAGGCAACCAGCAAATCAAGAAACACACAATAACTGTGCCCAAGATTTTGGCGATACGCTTTTCCTGTTGGATGCGTTTCTGAAGGAACGCTTGAGAGATAGTCTTGTTAATTTCCGTATTTGTGGCAGCATTCGCTTCACTGCTTTCCGAATGTGTTGTAAACGCCTTTGAGAGCTTGGACCATATAAACATATGGACAGTCCTGGAGTAATGATATACCATGATGATAACTGGTATATAAAAAACGATGCACTATTGAATTATTGTGTATTCTTTAGTAGGAAAAAATAGACAGGCCAATTCGTCCATATTCCCGTCAAGTTCTCGCTTCATTCTGAAGTACAATATGGCAGGGAGCCAAACCACGAGTCCGGTGGCCCAAATGACGATTATGTTTTTCACCGTTGTCATATAGCTTTTCCTTTCCTCGACGTGGTATTTCAAAGGATTGTTGATAGCTTTGAAACGCTGATAAGCAATAACATCAATTAATAAGATGCAGCATAGAGACAGTACAGCAAGTGAAATCAAGTAGAAGGAATATGGTACAGGCGGTACTGCCCAGGGGCCAATAACCATAGATGGTAATAGAGAGGTTTCGCAAAACGAATTAGCTAAAACGTATCCGCATCCGTATCTCGTTACGTTTACGGATACGTATTTCGATAATTTTCGTTTCGCAGTTCGTTTTTTGAAGTACGTTATTATAAACGCATCTCAATCCGTGTTTAATAGTAGTGAAAACTAGGGTCAAATAAAAGGCTTTATCTGCACTAAGATTTCAAAACACCATTGGGAGTGTCAGCTTTCAGAATCACAACTCCAAAAGTATTTTTGGTGAGTGCAAAAATACATATTAACCCTTTCATCCCCAAGGTGGCATTTGTTAATTTCATGACATCAATTTCAAAATGAAGAATATCCTTTAGGCTAGAAAAGGTTATTTCTAGGTTTACAATAACCAATTCAGTGTCAAATTATACTTTTGGGAATATTTAAGGGTTTGAAAACAGATGGGCTGAATAGTGGTCATCAAGTGACGTGCAAGGACTGCATTATGCCACAAAATGCGTAAACATTTCGAAAATCACTTTCCATACTGCACATGGACCTTTAATTTCATGTTTTTGCAGCTGTATATTTGGTAATAATTCAAGATCAAATAAGTAAAAAATAGCGACTTGGGCAAGGCCAAGGCATTCGGAAACCATACGTTTTCACATGAGCCACCCCCTTTCCTCATACATTGGCTTTAGTTGAAAACCCATGCCTCATATAAACTAAGGAGGGGGGCAAAGTAACATAGTTGATCATAGAAAGCGACACAAATATATCATTTATGCAATAAAAGTATGTTTTGTATGAGAAATCAACAAAAAATATATTATGTAAAAAGATAAAATAGCATTGTTTTTCTTGAATTCATTGAACAACGGGGGATCAGCTCATCAGAGAACGACACGAAGCTAACGCCTTTCATACCAGTTGAATATCTCACCATCGTAATACCCTCTATCCCCTTTTGGGTCTACACAGAATCAACTGATGAACAAACAACATAATACCCTAAACCGGCCATTTGTTTCTTAACCCAGTAAACACCACAACCTGATCGGACACAGCCCACAGCTCGACATATATAACCTATTACAACCAAACACAACCTAGATCACCAATCGTGCAACAGTACAATAGAACATAACGCAGTGTCAAAATACACAGAACGCAATAGAGCATAACCCAGCACCAAAGCCAGTATAGCGCAACCTGACTTACAACCACCAAAACACAACCAACTGTCAGATTAACACTATATGTCACAACCCAATAATAAGACAACAAAGACAGACACAACCAATTGTTGAATTAACTCAACACAATTGTGCACAATTCAACACTAAACAATAAAAACACAATCAGGCACAACAAATAAAACACAACTAAACTAACAACCATGAAAACACATCGAACTGTGAAATTATCACCACACAATTTGGCACAACCCAATGGTAAATCAACAAAGGCAAACACAGTCAATTGTTCCGTTGACTCAAATATCTTCAATAATCGTTTCTCTATTTGGCGCAAATGATTTTATTGACCATCTTCTTCCATGTATTAGTAATATTTGGTGAACATTTGCAAAAATAAAACCAGAACGTCTTCCGAAATGTAAAATTATGATGGGTTTCGCTACAGATTGATGAGGGCTGGGCGTAAATTACTCTGGTCTTAATTGGTTTGTGCAACATGTTCGAACAAGAAACAATTGAACTTTTCAGTAGCTCTTGATAAGCTTGAAAACCTGTATTTTTCGAAAATGATATATTTTTGAAAAATGCCTAGGGGAATAAAGAGATTAGGAATTATAATAAAATACAAATATCTATTTTGGAAATTGTCTCTAGAATAAAGGAGTGGTATCGATATGGTGAACCTTTTGAACACGCGTTTCTCTTAGAGTCATCAAAACATTTTTACACATCGTCAATTTAATCTTTTGGATGGTAACATTATAAACTGAATTATATATATACATATTCTTTTCTCTATATTGTTTTAGAAAACACATCAGACACTTTTTTCGTTCTTGGTATCATATGTTCGGAATGAAATGAAACATCTATCCGAACCTCATTGAAACAAAACGACATAAACACAATGTGTTTAGGTCTCTCAATATTGTAATAGTACAAAGGAAAGTTTAGTTGATTTTAAAAAAGTATCTTGTTAATGAAATAAAATGTATATCTTAATTTTTATCTAGTATGGGGTGTTTTGTTTTAAGTTTTTGCATACTTTTTGTTAAATCAACCAAAATTTCCATTGTAAAACCATAATATTGAGAGGTCTATGAAAATGTTATAAATGCTATTTTGTTCCAACAAGGTTGGAAAGACATTTTATTTCATTCTCAAGCATTGGTAGAAAGGAACAAAAAACAATTGCACTAAAAAACAAAAAATGTTAACAAAAACAGTTATATCAAATATATATAAATAATTTTTGCATAGAATTGTAGCCAATCAGTCAAAATTACATAAAGGACCGTGTTTTTTTACAGAATGCTTTCAAAAATTGGTTTAAGAGAAAAACATTGTTGAATTCAGTTCACCATATCGATACCTATCCTTTTGAACATTTCAGACAAAAAATGTAAACATCATTTTTATAAAAAGATTAAAAAGACTCAATACATCCAGATCTCATCAATACATTCAGAGTTATGCTGAAAACATTAGTACAATAACGTCATTTCGAAGGGCAATATAGTGAAATATTGGACTGAGGGCCAAAGGCCCAAGGTCCAATATTTCACTATATTGCCCGCAGAAATGGCGTTATTAGTATTATTACCGCCGTTTATGACCAGGACTGAAACAGCAAGAAAATCTTACGCACTGAACGATATCTAATTTCGCGGGGAAAATTGCCGGTCGAGAATTGCATTATTGACCGGCAGTATTGACCGCCACTATGACGTCACATATTGCTCAGATCGATATAGTAAAATGAATGCCTTCTAAACTAGCACTAAAACCACTAGAACTTACTTCCTGCGAAACCTATTTGGATTTTGTTCAAAATCTAACATGGCTCTCGAAGTGAGTAACCTAGAACTGGCCCGGCAAGGTGGTAATAATATAAGTTATTGAATGATTTGAAGTGCAATACAAGATATATTCTGCTCGAGAAATTCCGTATTGGAACGAGACGAAGATTGATAGTAAATTACTCTGGGCTTAATTGGTTTGTGCAACATGTTCGAACCAGAAACAATTGAACTTTTCAGTAGCTCTTGATCAGCTTGAAAACCTGTAATTTTCGATAATGACATATTTTTGAAATATATATAGTGAAATAAAGAGATTAGGAATTATAATAAAATACAAATATATATTTTGGAAATTGTCTCTAGAATAAATTTTGAACATTTCAGTGAAAATAATTGTGTCATGTTTAAATTTTTTGTCCGCTGTGACGGAGCAGTTGCAAATGTGAACTGTGAAACTACTCCGTCACTGAGGGACAAAAAATGTAAACATCATTTTTTATTAAAAAAAAATTAAAAAGACTCAATACATCCAGATCTCATTAATACATTCAGAGTTATGCTGAAAACATATGTAAATATTATCGTGTCACTATTTCATGCCATTAAAAAGTCGAAAAAGAAATGGTACATTTTAGAGTTTGATACTCTGGCGCCGTTTTCAATAGCTTTTCCTCCTCGCTTTATTGGACTTCAAACAGAAGTGAAGGTTACCTGCAAATGAAGTATCCATTGCATGGAGTAAAATGAAACATATGTGTTAGAAATAAATTGTGAAGTATACTTAAGTGTTTTTATGAAAAATAGCATGCTCCGTCACAGCGGACAAATCTTTCTATACCAGCCTGTGTTTAGTTGAGATAATTAAAATATCTATGTAATTGGATGATATAAAAATGCTCCCATTGGGGGCTTGTTAGTAAATTGCTAACCATTGTTTTGGTTTCATCAGTCAGAATACTGCACGAGATGTGTATATATTCAAACAATTGCTTTCAAAATTCAATCTACGATTAGCATTGTTGGGTATTCATCGACCAGGAGCTATATTTATACGTAGCAATAAAATACAATTTCATAATAACTTGAATAAGTTATATATGGAGTGTTGAGATGTGTAATTGAGACACAAATTAAATATAAAGTCCCGATGGAATGCTTTCTATTGTTCTGTTTATTATACGGTCCGTATCCAAAAAACGCAACATATTGTTATCTCGGAAAAGCACAAAACCAGTGATAACAGCATTGATTTCATTCAATGCACCATAAAGCCATGTGTCTCCTCTTTACAATGACTATTCATTGATATTTGGTCATGGTTGGGCGAGTAATCATTCCATTTGCAAAGTGGGCCAAAATTAGCTTGGGACCATGTTATAAACATCGCAAAAGTCAGTGTTCGGAGCCCGTTGCAATATTGGAAGAAAACATAAAACAAATGCTGACTCCATCCTTTTCATTCAATGTACCAAAAGCCAAATTACCCCTCTTTGCAATGGAATATCATTCATTCACAGGGAGTCATCTCTGGCCGAATAATCATCAATTTTGCAGTGGGGCAAAATTCAACTCGGACCCAAGTTTTAAACATCGCAAAAGTCAGTACAAGGGGCATAGGGGCTATTGGAAGAAGGTATGACAGGTGTGACATAGACAGTAAAGTGTGCATACTTATACTCTTGCAAGAATACATCCTATACCCCTCCAAATTGCCACCACTTCCTTGCACATAAAGATGCGCTCATCTGTCCACGTCATGCATGGTTCAGCCCTGAGTCATCTGTGGGTTAAAGCAGAGAAAAGCAGCCCATGGGCAATTCTTTCTCGAGGTTTTGCAATATCTGGTGGAGGAATTGTGAGCACAGATGCTCCTGAGATAGCTCCAAAAGAAAAAGTCACAACAATTCAAGTCAGGGGAACTTCCATTGGCACTTAGCCCTTGCACTTATTTTTTCAATATCTAAAACTTTGTCCAGAGCCGACTTTGACCCACTTTGCAAATGGAAGGATTTCTCAGCCAACCATTACCACATGTTAATGAATGATATATCATTGCAAAGAGGAGAGACGTGGCTTTATGGTACATTGAATGAAATTGATGTAGTCATCACTTGTTTTGTGAATTTACGAGATAACTACTTGTTGCGTTTTTTTTATACGCCCTGTACCTTCACCTATCATAGGCATATTTCAAACAATTTACGGTTCATACATTGATTTGCTTTCTTGTTCCTCGTAATTGTTTAGATGGATTGAAATGAAGATGCAATGGTATTATAGAAACCATCAAAAAGCAATCCACTTTCAAAGAAGTCTACTTCTATTTTGGAATTACAAATTACATTTGGATGTTATAATAACTTAACTTACAATGTTTCCTATTGATTGCAATAAAATGTTATATTATTTAGCAAAACAATTCATCTAGTTTTGTTATCTCATTGTAAACTAGAAGAAACAATATGGTGTTCGTAGTTTTAATACACAAATAACAGTTCATGCCAGGCCTCCTAGACTTCCACTAACGCAAACATCAGTTCAGATTACGTGAACTACGATCCTTCCATCGCGAACTACGTTCCTTCCTTCCAAAATATGAAATATGTTCGGGATAGAGGAACTAGTATAGTGGTTCGCGATTAAAGAATCGATGTTCGCGTTGTAAGAACCGTGTTTCGAGTGGAAGGAAGGTAGTTGGCGAGGTCGCAACTGATGTCCGCGTTATTGGATGTCTAGAGGGCCTGTATTCGTAGGATTAGTTATTTTGTGTTTCAGAACGGTATATTTGAATCAAATCATGCTTGTTAATAAAAAAAACAAAAACGTTAAAAAGGAATTGAATATTTGGTACAAAAAGGGTTAATTGATATTTGATGAAATTCATTTATTGAGGTATTACTAAGCATATCACATGAACAAACGTGGACTACAATCATATTAAAAGCAAAAAAGTATAAGTTCATTGAATCAACCTGTGATTTGTTGTTAGAACAACTGAATTGCATAATGCCAAAGCTATGTTTTATGTATTAAACTTATATGTATTTATATGTACAATGGTAGAAATTGAAGTACTTAGAAGATAACGCAATGCTTCCTCTTTATTGAAATCGTTATTGAAATCATATATATCCATCCATATTAGCTGCTGTTTGAGCAGCAAGTAGTAGTCATACCAACTCCTAACAATCATCTGTAAATCTGTTCAATTATATAATACACAGCTGAAGTTTCTCAGGTAACTGCAGAATGAGATTGTCTTTAAAAGGAATTATGACATACCTTGTAACATTAAGCACTTTTCACTGTAGAGGGGGTGCCGTTGTTGTTTGATACCATGTACTATCAGATGTATTTAAACGTGATACGGGTGTTTTTCTTAACGCCTTCCGATAATCCTTATTCATTATGAAAACCAACGCTGGGTTCATTGTTGAATTAAGGTAAATCATCCAGTAGGACACTTCATAGGCTTTCAATGGGACACAATGTGGACAAAATGCGCCTATGGGCCAAATAATACAGAAGGGCAACCAGCAAATCAAGAAACATATAATAACTATGCCGAACATTTTAGAAATGCGCTTTTCCTGTTGGATGCGTTTCTGAAGGTACGCTTGGGAGATTGTCTTGTTAGTTTCCGTATTTGTGGCAGCATTTCCTTCACTGCTTTCCAATTGTGTTGTAAACGCCTTTGAGAGCTTGGACCCCATGAACATATAAGCAGTTTTGCCGCAATAATATACCACGATGATCATAGGTATACCATGAACAATACAAGTTTGAGCGACCACGTAATAAGCATTAGTTGGTAAAAAATAACAATCCATCTCGTCAATGGTTCCATCATTCATGCTCTTTGTTCTGAAGTACAATATAGCTGGTAGCCAGGCCACAATTCCGATCGTCCAAACGGCGGCAATGTGTTTCAAAGTCTTTTTATAATTTTTCCTATCTTCAGCGTAGTATGCTAAAGGGTCGTTGATGGCTTTAAAACGCTGATACGCGATGACATCAAGGTGCAACATAGACACGGTGACACAACAGTAATCAACTATGATATAAATGGTGCAGACGGTACTGCCCAAAGGCCAATAACCATAGATTGTAAAAACAGTCATCGCAGCCATTACAATTAATCCAACCAAGGTGTCTGCGCATGATAACGATACCAAGTAAATGTGAGTCATTGTTTGAAGTCTTTTAGATGTCAAAACAACAGTTGCAAGTGAAATATTCATAATAATTGTGAGCAACGAAAGCGCTATTAGGATCGCCAGTATCGCTTGCCATAGATCCACCATCGTGATGATTGATAGTTCTAATTTAATGTACTGTTCAACAGAATGACTGTTATACGCTAGTTGATAATTTTATCGTCCTGTCTGCTGCTGCCTATGTAATCAATACTCACAAGTCTCTCTGACGTAATACCAAATTTTACGTAACAAAAATATATATCTTGTCACCCTAAATGTCTAGTTTTGATATTTTGTTGTTGTAAGCTTTCATCCAAGCTAAAATAAATTAAAATTAAAACAAGAAAAATTAAATATCAAACATTAAATCGAAAAATCGAAAGGACACTAAGTGTCATACAATAGCTAGACGACAACATTCGAACGTGAATGCATCACCAAATGCAACGCTTACATAAATCGTTCATCCTTTCATTGCTACACAGTAGTAGAAAATAATGCACCAACCTTAGTTTTCTCTTCCATCGCGGCCATTTTATTGGATAAATCAGTGAACGTAGCCGTCCAACATCGCTTTCAGAGGTGGCGTAACCGTCATGCTATAACACCGTGATTTGGAGGGGTAAAGGATGTATTCTTGCAAGAGGAGTATAAACACTTTACTGTCTATGCCACACCCGTCAGACCTTTTTCAAATAGCATGTATGCCCCGTGCACTGACTTTTGCAATCTTTAAAACTTGGGTCGGAGCTGACGTTTGCCCCTATTTGCAAAATGGATGATTCTTTGACCAGCCATGACACCCTATGAATGGATGACATTCCATTGCAAAGAGGAGTATTTTGTCTTTTTGGTACATTGAATGAAAAGGATGCAGTCATCATTGGTTTTATGTTTTCTTTCAATATTGCATTGGGTCCCGTACACTGACTTTCCCGATGTTTATAAATTGGTCCCAAGCTAATTTTGGCCCACTTTGCAAAATGAATATGATAATTACTCGCCAAACCAAGACCCAATATCAACGAATGATATACCATTGGAAAGATGGTATTTTGGCTGTACATTGGCTGTATGGTACATTGAATGAAATCAATGCTGTTATCACTGGTTTTGTGCTTTTCCGAGGTAATTATCTGTTGCGTTTTTTTATACTCACTGTACATATTATAAATCATATGTTACTTTAACGATATTTGCATTGATTAACTTCCAATATTATTTCTATATACACATTTATTTATTGTACCAATAATCCCTTTAAGGGCAAATGTACAAAACAAGAGAGTATACACTTCCCTACGAAAGTTTGGCATCAGACTGCTTAAGTTGAAAAGTTGGAAAACAAAAAAAAGATCACAATCGAACACTTCATTATGCTATCTAATAGAGACTTCCAATTTCAAAACCTTGGTAAGGGGTGTATTTGAAACTGTGTACACTATTGTAAAATCTTGAGGATGTACGTTTGGTGGTCGTCGTTATTTATGATTCATATGTAAACATTTGAGAATAAGCGCTTAAAGCTAATAAAATGTTGATTAAAGTGCTCTTGAAAACTTTATGTGGGTTCTACGTAAATCATTGAAATACACGTTTTATAAAGTTACAATGGACACATACGTTACAAATAAGAATAACATTAATTTATTTTTCTTACTTAATTCGAAGCTTCAAAGCAGTCGTGTTAACCTTCAACCTTTTATTTTACTGGTGTTATAATTACGAAATTAATTCTAAAATATATATTTCTACTGAACAACCTTGTAAAATTAGTTGAACAAGTAAACATAGGATCTTTAAAATTAATATTCATTGAGTGTTTGCAAAACAGTCTGACCTCGCCAATTGAAATTTAAAAGTTTGTGAATTCCCTTGAAGCATTGATACTCTACGTACAACTGATCCACCACTTCAAAATGGCCGCAATGTCTGAGCAGGAGATCGCTGGATACAAGGAGGTGTTTGATATGTTTGATCTAGATGGCAGTGGATCTATTTCTTCGGGTGAATTGAAGGTGGCGTTGGAAGAAATGGGTCATATGCCTACAGATGAAGAAGTTCAGGTAAGAAATTGAATCGCTATTTATTGACTAGAAACTGTGTCAAACCAAGGGACCAAGGGACATGACATTCATACTGAAGCTAATGCAATGCATATTGAAGAATAACATCAAAAATAGTTGTAGATATTGTATTCATACAAGATAGGGGATTCAGCCTCAACGTATGTGGGATGGACAAAATCCAGTCTCGAAGTCCATTCGAGCGTATCAAACGGCCAACATCAATCCAAAAAGCCGACGCCATAATCCATAAAACAAAGAATTGATTCATTCATTTATATCATAATTTGTTAGTAGTTGGCAGTTGAGCGAAACATTATAAATAACATCATAGTGAATCAAGTATCAAGGTAGTTAAAACCTTCACATGGTTCAATCAATTGAATCCAGACTACCACCCTCATTCCAAGTTGTGTTACAGGACATCCCTGCTTAAATTAATACAATATATTATACAAATGATATCGTTTTGTTGTTAGGCGTTGCTTAAACAGATTGATGCCGATGGTAGTGATAAAGTAGAGTGGGGAGAATTCTTAGCCATGTTCCAAGCGAAGCCAAAGAAACAACATACGTAAGATTAAAATACTATTTAGTCAATATTTCTATTTGAATTCTAAAAATATTAATGTTTCAATATCTGGCTCTGTGTACATGTCATTGTAGTCGTATTTTACATTTTAACTTTTGGGTGTTCCAGAGAAGCGAATCTCCGAAAGGCGTTCAGGGAAATTGATAAAGACAAAAGCGGGAAAATATGCAGTAATGAGGTCAAACAGTTCCTAAGGAAAAGTGGTATCGGTGAAGACATCATACCAGATGGTGAAATTGACGCGATTATTGCTGAAGTTGATACATCCGGGGATGGAAAGATCTCTTTTGAAGAGTTCCTAAGAATGATGAACGCTTAAAATACAACTTTTTCAAACACATTTGGTCCTGGACTATTTTCATATTAAATAATATCGTTGATATAATTTTTCTTTTCTTCAGTTAGCTCCATATTTTTATGATTTTGTAGTCACTTTGAAAATACAGAGGTTGTTCATTTTATACAACGTGAAACGATGTTTTATGTTTACTGTGAACAATTTTTAATTTGATCTATATAAGCTTACGTAGGTGGTTGGTAATCTACAATATCAGGGGATGGAAACGCCGTTCGAAAAACAGGTACATTTTTGTAGTCGATGAACGTAGTGTTTCCTGGCAATGTATTCATATACTAATCCAAGTACATCGGGAAGCATTCAATCGTTATAAACTGACAGTATCAATCCACCTAGTTTTCCTGGAATATTGGGGTAACCAAAGCAAAATTTTCGTTTTGAAAAATCTGGCACATTATTGAAGAACTAGTCTGAGTTTGCCTGTTTTTGTAACAATTGAATGTTTTTCCGAAACAAAACTAAGCAAAACTACTAAAAAGCATTAAAATTGTTCATAAACGACGTAATAAAACTACACCTAAATATATAAGCACTAGTGCCAAAGGGAAAGGACTAAAAGTTGTAATGGAACTTATATATAAGTGCATACCAGTAAAGAAAACAAACCCAATATAGCCAATATACCTATTTCTGAAGAAAATGTCTGTGTTATAGTGTATTTCAGAATGATGATCTGAATGTGTAATTTTTAAAATCGACTGACTCTCACAGAAAAGCTTAAGTGTAAACTGTGTAAGCCCAGGATGGGCCCAGAAAAATATGGCTCTAGTTAATGGGCCTTTTAGGACATCACTTGGCCTTTTTGGGTCCTATTTTTTAATTTTAGTCCAAATTATCAAGAAAATGGGCGTCAAGTTTTCTAAATTTGGACCCACCTTTTGGTTTTAGAGGCCCTAAAACCCTTTAGCCTTAAGATGTACCCCCTCCCCTTGTTCGTTTACAGCTCCGCCCCTGAAAAGGCATAGAATTGTTTTATAAAACACAATTTTCCTAGCTGACGTTTTGGTACACCTTGGGTGTAGTGCAAATAAGAGATTAAGTCTTTATCTAGGTGGTTTCATTGCATCTATACATACATTCTTTCCAAAATGACAATTTCTTAACCAATAGCGTCCTAAATGTTATAAAATAACTAATGAAATAACAGAAACTCCTGTTATAAAAATCCACTCATTTACTCTGTACCTCTTAATTTTCTCAGAAACCAGGAATGTCAAGAAGTTTGAGTAACAAAGTTTGTTTTTTAGTTGCTTTGTTGTAATGGTGTTGCTATACAACTCAGGTTCAAGTGTGAATTCATAGCAATAATATTTATTCAATTTCTGGGAATATCACTATGTATAATTCATGGTTGAGTTCTCGAAAAGACCCAATTTGAAGTCAGTCATCCACCTTGATAACGCGTCTGTCCGCAAGTCACCATTAAAGACCACTGCAACTCTGTATGGAGAATGGAAGGCTTATCAGCGCGGTAAGACCTTTTAAATTGGGAATGACCAACTCAAAATTGTCCAATTGATCATGCGTGACACGTCCTCAAATGGGGTCACTCGTGTGTTTGAGTCATGGATACCAAGCAGTAGAGTGGCACTCTTGTACTGACAAAAGAGGGGCCTACTTTTTAAAGCAGAGGATACATAGGAATATCAAATGATGTTAAGCAAATGCAATTCCCATCAATTGTTGCATTTCATTATTTAAGTCTCTGTAACTTTCTGCATGGAGTGTTGCCCCGGGTATAGTGATGTCATGTTACCATAGCAACCATAACTCTACCAGATTGTCATACTTTCTGTCAAAACTTTGCAGTTTTAGTCACAATGCATGGAAGTACATTATGTGAAATTTTAAAGATGATTGCGGGGCATATTTAAGAAAAGGCCAGTACCAGTCCTGTTACTTTTGGAACACCCTGTATATTCCATATTCAGCAAAACACGGGAATTTTTTTTAATATAGTCAATATTGATCATTTGAAAATGCAGTGCTCATTTCCATGAAGCTGCCATCTTTTAAGATTTCACCCAGAAAGTGATGTCATCGAAATATTTTGAAATGAGACACCAATTACCTTGTTTTGTGTTCTCCTATATACCTTTTGATGACGTCCATACAGGACATGGACATATCATCCAGTGCAAACACATACATACACACACACAAACACACGCACGCACGCACGCACGCACGCATACACACACGCACACGCACACACACACACACACATACATGCATACAAACATCTTCATAGGTATTTCATATCCACTTTCTTTTATCCAGGTGAGGAGTAGGTATTATATCCTTGAACTATGACTCTTATTGACCTACAACAAATCTACATATAGGGCTTGCTATATACATATTATGTATATATAAAGGTTATTTACCCAGTGACTGATTTAGTAACTCAATTTATGGAGAAATAGGTCTAAAACATTTGCTAAACCACTGTAAAGTGGGTCCTAAATTATTGAAATAAACTTTTTATAGCTTTAAAGTCACTATGGACATATTTTGAAAAGTTACAAATATGATGAACAGACATTTTCGATCAATGATTTTTTATTTGCAGCCATTGTCGTCATCCTATGTGGATTTTATTATTTCTTGCCGATCTTGACATTCAAAAGATTAAGATTGTCTTATCAAAGAAAAATTTCATAATTTGATTTTTATTTTAAAGATGTTGATTTAAGAGCAAAAAAGGCTCCAAAACTTAATGAAACATGTAGTTTGGATGTTCATTTATGTCTGTGGATTATATTTTATACCACAAACACTTTATAAATACCTGAAATTTGCAATAAAAGTGCCCAAAAATTGTTGTTTCGAAATTCCCCATTTTTCCTGTATCGCGCTAGTCACGTGACCATTATGCGTAGCAGTCAATGTACAGATATTACAGTACATATAATATGTTCAATATGGCAAACATCAGCGATTCTGATACCCGGGTTCTGGGAAATGACTATATAAATCGGCGAGAGGGTGTAATTTGAATGAAGACAATTTAAGGAGGGGGAATGTGTTCAAGTATGGCAGTAAGAGAGCAGATATGGGGACTTTAAACAAGAACTATGACGGAGAATCAACTAAAAATGTGAGTTCTGGAATGAAGACCCGTTGCCATTGACTGAAGATTCCAGCGATCCTATTATCATACTCAGTTTGAATCTAGACGCCGAAAACAGATTATGAAAACAGGTTTTCTGCAAAGTTATCAAATTTAGAAGATATGGATCTTGTTTTTGAGTGGCTTAACAAGCATTTAGATACCAGACTTGGCGCTATCTCTTGTCAAATACATGCACTGCAGTAAATTGGCCATTGCAAATTGCAAAATCAGATCGTCAAATTAATCGCTTCGTTTTTAAACCTACGCTTCATATCTTCTTCCAAAACTTTAGGATTCGATAGAGATAAGTTATAACTTGTACAGGAAAAAATGGCAGATCCTACCTTAATTTAGAATCGCTGATTTCTCTGGACAAATTCCGAGAAGAAATTGTTCAACATCGCGATCACCCCAGACAACATGTCGCGTGCGTGTCACTCTGAACTCACGTGATAAAATACGGCATCTTGATTGGTTACTACTCGTGTTGTCATGACGTGAAAAGCAGTAGTAAACACTGAATATGTTAATGAACTGCTATATATGGAACAATTGTCTTTCTGATTGGTTAACTTTACACGCCTCCTAAATGAATATAGTAGTCGTAGTAAATGATTCATTGATAACTCTGAAAGTGGGCGTGACCAGCTTCATTTTGACACCAAATTCAAGATGTTTCAAATCAAAATGGCCTCGCAAGACGAGGTTGAAATATCAGTAATTTGATACTGATATGGTCTACGATAGATCAAAATTGACTGCCCCGCGTCACATGTCACGTGAGCCTATATTTGTTGAAAAATGAAAGAGATAGTGACACTTTTTAATCTTAAGTTTATACCAATATTACAAACACATATCTATTTTTTTCATTATATATTTATTTCTTCATAATACATACATTTGTTTTATACTACATTGATTTATTTTTGCAAAACCTTTGCTATTAGATCTTTAAGTATTTTATTTGTGGACATCATATTTCAGATAAATCAGTTTCTACTTTTCAGTTTCTATTTTCTAAAACAGGTGTATGAATTATTTTACTGCTATCAATACAAAATGAACTTTTAAAATGTATTTTTATTGAACTCCATCGCTAGTGAATAATTGGTTCAAACACGATTACATAGGGTCTTTAAATTAGTATTCAAGGAGTGCTTTCAATGGGACCTCACAAATTACATGTGAATAAGTTTGTAAATTCCCTCGAAGCACTGATACACTAGACACAATTTGCAACTGCCACGTCTACCACGTTCACAATGGCCGGAATGTCTGAGGGGGAAATTGCCGGATACAGAGAGGTGTTTAATATGTTTGACCTGGATGGTAGTGGGTCTATTTCCTCGGGTGAACTAAAAGTGGCGCTGGAGGAAATGGGTTTTGTACCTTCGGATGAAGAAGTGCAAGTAAGTTAGTAATTGATTCAACGTCGATTGTCGATATCACATAAGGGTCGTTTAAGAAACTCTATGTTCTTAATCTTTGCCTTTTAATTCTGGGTACAGCAACCCCCTTGGCTAGCTAGATACTCAAATATATGTACATACTGTTACGTTGTTAGGTGCTTCTTAGACAGATTGATGCCGATGGTAGCGGTCAAGTAGAATGGGAAGAATTCTTAGCCATGTTCCAAGCGAAGCCAAAGAAACAACATACGTAAGGACACTCTTTACATTGAGCTTCATCTAAGTTAATAAGTGCTCTTTGGCATCCCAACAATTAATATATCCTTGTCCGCTTTTTTCGATAGAGGTTTCCCAAAACATTTTTAGCTAAATCTATCTAAAATATTCGTATCCGTTATCCATATCTATGCGTAGAATTAAAGCGAGTTGCGGGTGTGGATACGTTTTAGATATAACCCGTTGTGTGAAACCTTTCTATTTTCTTGCTTTTTGTATTTCAGAGAAGCGAGTCTCCGGAAGGCGTTCAGGAAACTTGATAAAGACAAAAGCGGAGATATATGCAGGAATGAGGTCAGACAGTTCTTAAGGGAAAGTGGTATCGGTGAAGACATCCTACCAGATGGTGAAATAGATGCAATGATTGCTGAAGTTGATACATCCGGGGATGGAAAGATCTCTTTTGAAGAGTTCCTAAGAATGATGAACGCTTAAAATACAACTTTTACAAACAACTTTAGACTTGGACTAAAATATTTAATACTATCTTTGGCTTTTCATGTGATTATTAGAAATTTCAGGTCGAATATTTTCGGCTCCTTAGTTAGCTATATAGTTTGTATTTTTGACTAACTTTAAAAATAAAAGATTGATAATAAGCACGTTTTATGTTTGGTGAAACGCAGTCTGCGAACGAATGGTAATCTTTTATATCAGTACAATATGTTGACGTATTATTTACCTAGCAATACGCCCACACTGTTGCCAGTACATCGAGAAACATTGAGTTATTAAAATGACACTATCTATCCAGAAGATAAAGAAACAACACTACTTCAAATATATTTTTGAATAAAATGACGGTACTTATAATGTATTCCCTGTTGTTCTCTACGAAACTACTGTTCGTGTTTCCAGCTTGCACGTTGCGCAATTTTTAAAATCAACGGCATCATCCACTGGACTCTGGGGACTCTTTGAAGGAAAAATGTACCATGGGCATAATGACAAGTTCAAAGAGCAGGAATTAAAGGACATGATTTTTGCTTCCTGGGAGGAAATCACTTTAGATGAAATTCGCAAGAGCATATCAGGTTGTGGAAGAGGATTGAAAACAGGTTGAAATAAGAAAGTTGCCCTGATATTGTATTTTTTGACTTGCATTTGTGTATTGAGGAATTCTCACAGGATTTACAAAGAATTTTCAAAGAATTTGGCTCCCAAACAATTGAGATATTACTAGTCAAAAAGGGTGACGTTTTTTGGGACACCCGATATAGTGCGAGCCGAGAAAGGTTAGGGGGTAACACTAGGTCTGTCCCCAATGAAGGTCATAGATTTGTCTTTATCTAGATGGCTTCATATATCTATCCTCCCGAAGGTTTTTGACCTATAAAAAGACAGATGTAGTATTAATTTCTCTTTTGAGGCTGGGACACTCGTATTTCAAAAATAAATATTGATTTTAATTATGAAAATATGTCATATATATACCAATCGATAGGGAATTTGCTTTATATCCGTCATCTTTAATTTGGTATGTCATACGTTCAAATTTAGTATAATGTCTGTCAACCAACGTCCATAATATAAATGACGTCATTTTTGCAAGTTTTCTAAAACTTGCAAAAAGCAAATTTTTTTGTCAACTTCATTTACATAAACAGACGTTCAATATGTCCACCATTTTGATCAATTATAGCCTTCAATTTTGGCCTAAACTGGTAAATAGCATCATTGAATGAATTTCACTTCTCAATAAATCTGTCCTTAAGAGACTGAATAGTAAAGGTTTCATGGTACACCAACTCTGTTAGTTCTCCCCATTTGTGGTAGTTGCACATGCTAGAGATCGGGTGATCTGGTGGGGGGACAGTGATTAAGGGGGATAAAGCTAGGCACATTTTCCTTAAACATTTGACACTCTTTATGGGATCTATGGATTGAAGCCCCATCTTGTTGGAAGATGTAATGATCTGAAAATGAACTCTTATCAGGATGGTCCAAATGTGGTAGACTACCACATATTGGGAGAACTGACAGAATTGGTGTACCACGTATCCCTTATATCTAGCCAGTCCCTTATAAAGGATACATTTATTGAGAAGTGGAGTTCGGTTTCTCAACAGCATATCAATGATGCTATTGGTCAGTTTAGGCCAAAATTAAGGTCTACAATTGATCAAAATAGTAGACATATTGAACGTCTGTTTATATAAATAAGGTTGACAGGAAATTTGATTTTTGCAAGTTTTGGAAAACCCGTTTTGAAACGAAAATGACGTCATTTATATTATAATATGACATGTTTCCAACAAGAAAATCAACATTTGTTTTTGAAATACGAGTGTCCCATTTTTTTGGACCACCCTGTATATACAGAAAAACTCCTGTAAAAAATGGAATAAATTCCTCTTAATTTTCCGATATCAAATGGGAGATATACGAGGGTTGATCATAAAGTTCTCATAATATCTCTCTAATTTCTTTATTTTTCAATATATTCTCATGAAATTTTCACAGAATGTGCAGCATAGAATGTCTTATTAATTTAGCAAACAATATTTAGTTTAACAGAAATATTAAATATGAAATGGTTGCCATAGTAATGGGAAATCAAGCCACCCGGGGCAAATAAAAATAATTGAGAGAAATAGCTTAAATTAACCATTGTTTACATACATAATAAACTACCAAACACGTTAAAATGGTAACTTGAATGTGTTGTAAAGTGCTTTAAGAATTAAATAAATCGATCGTGTAAATTGTGTGATGTCATACGGGGTGCTTTCATGCTCCTTTAGATGTGATACCAGAGTCTAAGACACAAAGCTAATGATCAGATATGACTGAGTAAGAGAATGCAATAGATGCAGAGATCTTCAGAAAAATAAATTTCATACTGATAAAATGTTATGTTAAGTTTGTAAGATCCTTTGGTCAGACTAAACATGATTTAAAACAAATATATTGCTAAGATATCAACAAAATTACACCCTGTGTGTGTCTTAACGATTTCATTCAGCCCTCTTTCATGCTATTAAGGGAATCATGTCATAAGTGTACGTTTAGATCTCCAGTATCGTTACCTGCGTTTTTACTGGATGAGCGTGGTGTAAAAGTGGTTTTGAAAAATAGCAAATTTCTCTTTATGTAAGTAATTTGTGGTTTATGATTCTACATTGATTCTGAAAATATTGGTGTCTAGTTTTTCAGCGTTTTGGAAATATTCAGATTTATACCCCCTTGGTTGATTTTGAGGGGGTACTAGGAAAGCCATGTTAAATTCCTAGAATTTACAACCAATCATCTTGATATTTACAGGTAATCATCTACTTATCATTTCCTACAAGAGTCATACATTTCATCAAAGTTAGTCAACTGGTTGCTATGGAAACGGAGATCATTTGTCAAAAAGTACACATTTTCGTCAAAATGTAAGACACCCCATGAGACAAAACACATATTATTTTCATGAAATTGGGAAGAAACACCATGAAAACATTTTAGAAAACTTACTCAGAGTATTTTGATAATATTAAATCAACTTCTGTTTTATCTTATCCACACAGTGAAATCTATTGCTCATGATTATATGGCAGTACAAATAAATTTAGAAAGGGGACGTGGCACTTTTCCAAAGAATTCTTAATTTGTGTCCATATTTTTGAAGAAAATAAATAACCAATTGTCCTGATATTCACAGATATTATTCACATCATTATGTTTGACTATCATGGAAAGTTTCATCAGTGTTGGTTTACTGGTTACTATAATATGCAGACTTAAACCCCCTTGGTATGATTTCTAGGGGGGTACAATGAAAGCCATCTATAATTCCTAGAATATACAGCCAATCATTTTGATATTTACAGGTAATCATCTACATATCATGTCTTACAACCATGACAATTTTCATCAATGTGTAACAATTGGCTGCTATGGTAACATAAATCATTTTTTTCAAAAGTACACATTAAGGGAGGTACTATGAAACCCATATATAATTCCTAGAATATCTAACCAATCATCTTGTTATTGATAGATTATTATCTACTCACCATGTTCTTACACTATGACAAATTTCATAAATGCGGGGCAAATGGTTGCTATCTGGTAACAGAAATCATTTGTTAAAAAGTACACATTAGGGCGTACTATGAAAGCCATATATAAATCCTTAAATATCAAAACAATCATTATGATATTTACAGACAATGTACTACTTATCACGTCCTTCCATTATGACAAGTTTCATCAATGTGGGTCAAATGTGGGTAGAAATCTATTTGTTAAAAAAGTACACATTTCGTAAAATTTTAAGACACACCCTAAGATATTGAACATTTTCATCATATTTGGAGGAATTAGCACGAAAACATTTTACAAAACCTATTTTGAGTATGTCTGATAATATTTAATCAATGGATATTTCATCTGGGCCATTTGATGCATTGTATTTGCTTATGATAATAAAACTATGCAGAATGCGGCTGTCACATTATGCGTAGGGACATAGTAATTTATGAGCTGATCTCACTTAGTCATATTTTATATCATTTGCCTCAAAATCCTCATTAATAGATCTTTCAATGTCTACTTCTGTTAAACCATCCGTTGCAATCTTTTTGTGACTATATGTCTATGAGATCATCAGGTGGAATGGGTTGGTCTGGCCAATTTGGCTCTATTTTGCCATCAACAAGTGGTCACTTGTAATAAACAATCTAAGAGATATATGCAACTATTACACCCAATTAAAAATACTGGAAAAGCTTCTTAATGAATTCTAAAAGCAACGAACAGTTGAAAAAAACAGCAGACATAAAACAGTTGAGAACAAGAGCATGTATTACTCTGAGTGTAAAACATGTCCGTTGATGACCAGTGATGGCAATAAAACGTCCACTGTTGTGATTGATGAAATGTGATAAGTTTTATGAAATGTTTTCATGCTTATTTCTCCCAAAATGATGAAAATATTATGTTTTTAATGTTAAAAGTTGATGAGTCTTAGATTTTTACGAAAATGTGTACTCTTTTAACAAATGATTTCTGTTACCATAGCAACCAAATTACCAACATTGATGAAACTTGTCATACTGGTAGGACATGTAGACGGATGATTACCCATAAATATCAAGATGATTGATTAAATATTTAAGGAATTATACATGGCTTTCATAGTACCCCTTAATGTGCACTTTTTAACAAATTATTTCTGTTACCATAGCAACCAATTGACCAACATTGATGGCACTTGTCATACTGGTAGGACATGATAAGCAGATGATTACCTGTAAATATCAAGATGATTGATCAAATATTCTGGGAATTATACATAGTACCCCCTTCATGTGCACTTTTTAACAAATGATTTCTGTTACCATAGCAACCAATTGACCACCATTGATGGCACTTGTCATACTGGTAGGACATGATAACCAGATGAATACCCATAAATATCAAGATGATTAATTGAATATTCTAGGAATCATGCATAGTACCTCCTTAATGTGTACTTTTTTATAAATTATTTCTGTTACCATAGCTACCAATTGTTACACATTAATGAGACTTGTCATAGTGGTTGTACATTATAAGTAGATGATTACCTGCAAACATCAAGATGATTGGCTGTATATTCTAAGAATTATATATGGCTTTCATTGTACCCCCCTTAAAATCATACCAATGGGGTATAAATCTGCATACCATAGTAACCAGTAATCCAACACTGATGAAATTGTCCATGATAGTCAATCATAATGATGTGAATAATATCTACTAACTTCAGGACAAATAGTTATCTATTTTCTTCAAAAAGTTGAACACAAATAAAGAATTCTTTGGAAAAGTGCCCGTCCCCTTTCTTAATTTACTTGTATTGCCATATAATCATCATCAATAGACTTCACTGTGTGGATAAGATAAAACAGCAGTTGATTTAATATTATCAAACAAACTCTGAATAAGCTTTCTAAAATGGTTTCTTGGTGATTCCTCCCAATTTCATGAAAATAATATGTGTTTTGTCTCATGGGGTATCTTACATTTTGACGAAAATGTGTACTTTTTTAACATATGATCACCATTTCCATAGCAACCAGTTAATCAACTTTCATGAAACTTGTCATAATGAAAGGACATGATAATTACATGATTACCTGGAAAAATTACACCAGGGGGGTATAAATCTGCATATTTTCCAAAACGCTGAAAAACTAGACACCAATGTTTTCAGAATCAATGTAGAATAATAAACCACAAATAACCTACATGAAGAGAATTTGCTACTTTTCAAAACCACTTTTACACCACGCTCATCCAGTATTTGTACTTAAATGTGACTTGTATTTACCATGCTCATATTACCATGCTGTTACAGAGGCTACTTTTTGCAATAAACGAAAGTGGCAAGCTCACTTCCTTATAATTTGATATCGTTGTTCTATTGCATCGAGCAAATCAAAGAAGGTAAAATATGTTAGGGCTTCTAGGTCTTTTTGGACTGATAGACAATTCTAAGATATGAGATCTTTTAAGGAATAACATTGCTGGCTTTTTAAATTATATACCATATGTTATAAAAAATAATCGAAAATGATTAAAATTGAACGGAGGGGGATTGAACGGAGGGGGGGGGTTCATATATATGATACATGATTATAATAGACACAATTTTAATTTTTTTTCAATTATCTTTATACTACGTAGGGTAACAACCTTTAAAAAGCCAGTAATGACATTAGTTTTGTGATTATAACGTCCCTTACAAATATTTATTACAGGTCGTGTAGACCATTGCTGCCTTATTTATAGCAATAACATTGACTTTTGAAAGTTGGTGACGTTACGGCTTTTTACTTCATCTCAATCTTAGAAGAGTCTCGGTTCAAGCAGAAATCGCCGCATCCCCCTCAGTTGATTTCTTCCGATATACCGGGCGTGATTACATAAAACCTTTAACTGATTTGTTAAAGTGCTTGCGAAATTTATAAGGGGGTTCTTAATCATTGAAATATACGATTGAATAAGTGTTTTCAATATTGAACATGACCTCACAAATTACAATTGAAAAGGTTCTCTTGGGCAATTACACAATATACCCAACTGATCCAATACGTATACGTTCAACATGTCCGGATTGTCTAAGCTTGAGATAGCTAGATACAGGAAGGTGTTTGATAGGCTTGACCGGGATGGCAGTGGATCTATTTCTTCGGGTGAACTAAAGGTGGCGTTGGAAGAAGTTGGTCACAGGCCTTCAGATGAAGAAGTACAAGTAAGTTTGTAAATGACTCGCTATTGATAGACGATTTTACATTATGACGTAGGAAGCTGCCAATGTCTTGTATTCTAGTCTTTGAATTAGGACTACCACTCTCATCCAAAGTATTGATACAATGCATCCGTGAATATGAATGGAATTATCCACAATTCAATGGAGCCCTTTTGTACAGCAGAATGTATGTTTCGATTTTAGGAATTGGTTAAACAGATTGATACCGATGGTAACGGTGAAGTAGAATGGGAAGAATTCTTAGCCATATTCCAAACGAAGCCGAAGAAAAAACATACGTAAGAGCACCATTTGATCATATTTCTCCCAGGTACACTAAGAAGTGTTTTAATCACAATTCCTGGAACAAAGGTCGAGGGAAATCCTCACGCCTTTCTGGGAGGTAGACTGCCGTATGTCCCATACCAGAGAGATCAGCAAAGAATTACACGTTTTAGTAGAGAACTTCTTATACATGACAAGTTCTCAAAAAACATCTAATGGTGCACAACTCATAATAGGGAACAAACCTCAACTATCCAGGATTATGATCTGATGTAAGAAAGAAACAATGCCTAATGCCCCCACCCCATTCACTTTCCATGATCACAATCCGAGACAATACCATCAAGAGGCATTTCATTCAAGTCATTTCAAACCAATGGTCACCATGATGGCTATTTTCGATCCCTTTAAACCATACTAAGCCAGAGCCGTGTTGCACCTAAAGGTGCTTGGTGAAAAAATCTCGAGTTCGTTGCAACTCTTAAAACTTTTTACATTCCTGAGTATGTCAAGTGGTAAAACCTAACTGCGACCTAATGATTTATATTTCTTAGTAAAGCTTAGAAAGTATTGCTAGAGTTTGTTTGTATAGCCTTGACCTAGGAGTTTTCTTACTTCAACATTATATATTGATTTAAAATCTAAATATTTTGAGCGTGTCCTGTTATAATGAACACCTAGGCCTAGTGAACACTATACCTATAGTGAACAATGTCAATGTCAGTGTGCACAGGTTTTACTGTATTACAGATAATTTTTTTTATTTGAAGAACTAGAAAAATGTTTCAGGGACTCTCACATTCTAAAGAATTATTTGAGTCAAATGTTTGGACTCCAAAACACATCGGTACTTCAATTAAAAACTCCAAATCTTCTCTCTGGTGAACACTTGTGTCTGTGTCTAGTTTATTGTTGAAGATGATATTTCAAGCTTCTGAGATTTGAGAAATAAAATATGGAATGAATGGATCTATTACTTCTTGAGTTGGGATTTTAATTTTAAAGTCCCATTATTCTATTATTGTCAATTACAGAGATTTAACAAGCTATAAATCTTATAGATACGACGTCAGATACTGTACATCACGGCGTAACATTGTAATTGTTCATTTTACCGACAAAATGCAACTAGATTTACGCGATAAATGTGCGCAATGCTCCTCTAAGTAATTGCAGAAGTTTTAAAATTCGTTGAATCTTCTTAAAAACTTCAAGTTTTGTTCAGATTAATGTGCGCTTCAATACAATTCTATATTCAAAAAGGTTGTGTCACGATATACAGAATTAGAATCACCAGAAAGTAGACATTTCAAACGCTACCCGTTTTCTTCTTTGTCGCGCTTTTCGGCCCTGCGCTCTCGTTGTCGCACCGTCTTTCTAGACTCTTTTACAGTGCCCCTTGTCATATTCAACTGATATACACAGACGGGAGGATATTTAGGATTGTTAAATGCATTATTTGTAATTTATTTTTAACTCGAATATTAAGTTTTATTTATTTAAAGCAATGAATAATAAAGGAGAACATATAATTAGCTAACGGCGTAACGCCTTATTTTGTAAAGGCTTCACTTGGGGTTGCGGTGATAAAATGATGTCTATCTCAATATATACTGGTTCAAATTAAATGAAATTAATTGTATGTAGTAAAGGATATATTTAAAGAACATGCTGAAACATTGGAAAGTTTTGAATGTTTATCCCTTAATTAGAAATATTTGAACTCAAAAAATGAAACGTAATTTTGTGAATTTTTCACATGGCTTCACTTCATATTTCTTTCAATTTATGCTTCTTACAGACTGAATTTTAATCGAAATGATATAGTTTTTTAATAAAAATATAGAATATGATATGCCTTTCAGGAATCAAAAAAGAATAATTCACCTTTCAAACGATTTAATGTTAAATTGACCAAAATATATATCTTGTTGGTACGAAATTCTGCCTGTCCACACTTTTTTTGCATAAATATAAGCGTTAAGTTAGCATTGTTATATTATGACGTCATCACACAGAATCTGTTTGTCTTTTCCAAAATGGTGAATTTAAATATTGTGAAAATTTGAGAAAGATCCGTTAAGAAATGAAAAGGTTATCTCCATTTTTCGTTTAAAATTAAAATCATTTTTCTTCAAAATGTTACAGTCCACACCCGGTTTTAGCATAGAAAGTCGCATAATACGGCTTGCGTGATTCTCATTTAAAAAGTCCCAAATCAGTTATTTGGAATTCTGATAGGCAAAATATTTCATGGACATACGTGTTCAACTGATGACGAAAGATTGTAGAAAAATATGATTTTGCTGTCGAGATATTGCGGTTTTAAAAGTAAGTACGCATGTAAAAATGCAGTAAAATGCCGCGATGTACAGTATCTGACGTCGTATCACAATGGTCTTCATGCGATAGAGATAATGAATGACAAAAAGAAAAAATATGTATGAATGTCATTCATAATGAATGACAAAAAGAATATTTTACGTTATATTAGAAGCTTTGTAATTCTCCTAAATACTGAATAACCTGATGATCATGATCATCTAAATATCATTTCAAAATGGCCACTATTTTTCGTAATAATGTATTTAATTCAAATACTAGTTGACGGATTTGGTTCAAAGGAGCGCGTAGGTTATCGCAAACAATTGCAAACGATTCTAACTTGAATTATGAATATTTTCTGATCATGAACATGGGTGATCTTTTAGATCCATTCATTATCTTCAAGAAAAGTATATATAATGATAATTTAGTAAATCAGACCTAAGTGATATTGAAGGGCAATGGACCAATCAACATACTTTTTCAAAAATGTTGACCTAATTTTCACCAAAAATGCAACCTATTATTATATTGTTGAAAGCATAATTAGAATGTGCTTTGAGAAATGTTCGATTTCCTAAAAGGACTTTAAAGATATTCAATTTGGATGACTAAAATGAACTGAAACCAATGGATAGCATGAGATTTTTCAATGGAGAAATAACATGGGGAACACAATGCAATTACGTTTTTCTAAGAACTATTTGATACATCAAAATAAAGAATAGTAATGCATTAAACATTGTAAAAAATGATTGCATTTTTGGTGAAAATGGGGTCAACATCTTTGAAAAAGTGAGTTGATGGGTTAATTGCTAGTTAAATATCTCCGAGTTTGTTTGAATTTATTATTACTGTGCATAATTTTCTTTGAGATAATGAATTGATCTAAAAGATAAACTTGTCTTCATTGTCAGAAAATAGTCATAATCCAAGATATAACCTTCTGAAATTGTTTGCGATAACCCACGTGCTCCTTTCACTTGGTAATACCTAAGGACAAAGGTTTATGCAATAATCACTCCATGATTATTATCAATTGTGCATAACTCTTAATTTATAACGACTCAGTAAAGGATATTGAGTGCAGCTGTGACCTATTTTCTTTGGCATTTCAGCGAAGCAAGTCTTCGAAAGGCGTTCGACAAAATTGACAAAGACAAAAGTGGTGATCTATCCAGTAACGAAATCAGGCAGTTCTTTAGGGAAAGTGGAATCGGTAAAGACACCTTACCAGATAGTAGAATTGATGCGATGGTTGCTGCCGTTGATATTAACGGGGATGGACAGATTTCATTTGAAGAGTTCTTCAAAATGATGAACTCTTAAAATACAAGTTTTGAAATCACATTTAATCCTGGACTATTAACGAGATGATAAAACTGGTCAAGTGAACTCGTTATCTATTCTCCGTAAAGATATCAGCGAATTTGTGTTTATAGCGTAGCTTTGGTTTGGTAAATCTTGTATGATATACACGAATGAGTAAATCTAGATTATTTAAACAAAAGTGCAAAATTCTCCCATTGAAAAGGACAGGCGGGCACTTATGATATATAACATGTGCACCAAAACCCCAGAAAATCCAGAAATATGTCCTGTCGAAGAACCCTAATTTTTATTACTTGGAACCTTTAGTATTGATATTGCTCTACCGATTCCTGTTTTCAAAGCAAATCGCTTGGAGTTTTTTTAACTTATGGAGGATTTCAGCAAGGGGCGACTTCTAAGTATTATTTGAAAATATTTTCAAAAGGATTTCTACACGATATTCACAGTTATATGACATATGATAAATTATTTAGAACCTTACAATATCAGAAAAAATGAAATATAGGTTATCAAATGTTGTAGTCATCAGATTATTATTAGATTTATTTTCCCTCCATTGATTGGAGATAATATAATAATTATATATTACAGTATTCACCCTATGCAGACAGAGCCTGTGGGAAATATTGGGTGCGGCGCAAATGAGCGGAGGGTGCGGAGCTAACGGTCATTTTTGAATTTAGAATTGGGGTATTTCTGAAACTAAGCCGTTTTGGGACTTCAAATATACCAAGATATGTGTATTTGACACCAAATATCAATAAAATTGTGAAAATAGTAGTGCAATTCATTTTATAGCGACGCAGTATGCCTTAAACATTTCCCAGACCTTTATATTTTGAGACTATCCTTTTAATACCGCGTCCCCAGCATTCATAAAAAATGGTGTTCAAGATACACTACCCATGCAAATTATTTTTGGAAGCCAGGCAGTATCTGTGTGATTTTATAAAAATTCGGAAATATTCTTCAGATATGAGCCCCCTCTAAATATTGGGTGCGGAGCTACGTTTATTAAAGAATTTCATCAGCTATTGCCCCGAACCGGTCCATCTTCTCGCTGCAAGCAGATTGCCCCGAACCGGTCCGTCTTCTCGCTGCAAGCAGGAGGAAATTCGTTGTCACAAAGTTTGGCATTTTTTATAAAATCAAACGTGCGTCATTCAAACTCACAAGATGTAAATAGCATGTCATTTACATCATACCTTGATGGGGAAAAATAGATCGTATATGTTAGAAGTACTAAATAAAAGTTATCGTGAAAATGAGACAGTCGTTCTCGAGAGAAAATAGCATAAATGCGCATTTAGAGAGTTTTGGTCCGTTTAAAAATCTGTAAAAAATTGGGGTACTTAAAAGCATCGGGAGGCATCATATATTTCAAATTAGACACGAGGAAGTCAATATTGAGCAAGTTATGGCTGTTTTAAATTCAAATAAAACCGTTAACCCGTACCGGTCCAGCTTTTGACCCGTACCGGTCAATTTTCGTTAGCTGCGTATACCAAGGGTGTATACATGTTTTGACAAAATAAAACTTTCCTTATGAAAATACACCTGTATTCTGAGATAACTGACGTTCCGTTAGTCACTCACGGTGCTCATGACACACTCATCGTAGGGGACAGCCTGTTTATATGTACCTATTAACTTATACTAGGCCTATAGCTATTAGCTACCCCAAGTAAATCTAATTGACTCCAGTCCGGGCGAGGTACGTGTTCTGTATAATAGTGCTCACACGTTAAGTCCACTTTCGTTAATACAGTTGTCTCCCCCGAAGTGAGCTCGCAGTTTCATTGAATTTGACATTGCACTAATGTTTGGTATTCCATCAAGAATTGTATTTAATGTAGCCCTATTGTGCAGTCTACATTTTAAGACAAAGTGTTCAAGCGTTTCAATTTCCTCATAGCAGCTCTCACAAAACCTATCTCTCAACGGTATTCCCTCCCATTCGCCTGTGTTAATTCTGAAGACAATAAACTTTAATTTAATTTTCCTTTTTTCTTTGATCCTCTTACTGGTTACCATCAGATTTTTCTTTTTAATCTTTGATCCTCCTACTGGTTATCATCACATTTTTTGGTGGTAAAAATCAAAAACAATTTTTATCTAGAATGTAGCCAATAAGGCCAAATTTTGTTTTCTTGTTTTTTAAAGAATTTAATGACATCTCATTATTGTTAAAATTGTTTTATCCGTTGAAAGCGAGAACGTTTTCAAAAACATATAATTAGTTAAAAAATTAGTTACAAAATATTTTTTAAAGAAAATCTCAAACTCTCTCAATGTGTCTAAACACTTTTCGAGTAAAGATTTGCATGACACTATGGATTTCTAAAAATTAAAAGTGAAGATTTTTACGAAACAAAAAAATGTGTCTAAAATCTAAAAATAAATCAAAAATAGACCCTTGATTAAACTCTTAATTACTTTCATATACTTAAAGTGATTGACCTGAGTATAGCCAAAATTAACCAATAAATGGCCATATTATGTTTTTAATTCTAGTAAAAATGTTAGTAGTTACCTATAAAGATAGCATCTAATAGTGAATTTCTAAATTGGATTTTTGATAGAACTTTTGCTCATAAAAGGACCCCTGTTTAACTCTGCCATAACTTACTAAAGTTCCAACGGATTTAGCTAAATTCGTAAAAACAAATCAAGGACTGTCTAAATTACTATTTCAAAGCATTGAAAACAGAGGTTCTGCAACAGGACATAAAGCGACGAAGCGTCTTTAGCAATTTTTGGTTGACACTATGTGTAGTTTTGGTTGATGGTGGATCCAGTCTGGATCTAGAATGATTAAAGGTACACAGGTCTAAGTTCGACCGATTAAATACTTATGATCAGTTGTATCTCGTAAAACTTTACGGGGAGATCCTAAATAACTCCCTGTACAATCAGAGGAGAAATCGCCTGGGTTAATCTACTCACCATGACTTTAGATGGAAGTTATGAGACTATTTAATTTTATGCTAAAACCGCTTTATTCAAAATTAGAAATAGTAAAACAGGAAATACTTGAAAAATACAGAAAAGCAGGATGCATTAATTCAGTAAATAAAACATCTTGCTTTGTGTATTTGTTTAACTCTTTTTTCTTTTTTCGAGAGCCAAACATGTTCTCAAGGAAGTCGTCATATGAATCTTTTCGTGCTAAAGTCCATCGGCCAAAGTGTGACAGTTTTATATCTAGGGTGTGTAGGTTGAATGGTACTTGAACTGATTTTAGATTACTTATTGATTTGATTAGAAGCCAGGTCAGAATTACATTTTTACTTTGTCTAGTCCCAATACAAAAGTTCTCGCACAGAATATCTTGATTGCACTTCAAATCATTCAATAACTTATATTATTGTAGTCCATGCTCTGCTTATATTATATCCTTTTATATTCCTTATATGGTAAAACACACTCACTCAGTTGAGTTTGGGTGTTACCCAGTAAGTCAGATAGTTAGTCAATTGTTGCAGAGATACATGTATCAGATTAGTTTGTCAACAAATCATGAAAAAGCTAACATTATTCTCAATGGGAGTACTTTTCTTTCTGACGAGGAAAACAAATTGTTATTCGAAGAACTCCATCGATACTTCATTCATTCACGAAGATTGTAAAAATGATCTTATGCCTCCCAATGGTGCACCCCCCCCCCTTTTTTACCAATGATAACATTAAATAATGTGTATGGAAAACATTTTGTATTAGCTGATAGCTATTAATGTAATCCAATAATAAATATAGTATTACACAAAACAAATGTATCAGATTTTGAAATAGACTTTTTAGACATTTTAAATCATATAGTTTTCTGTTATATTTTATATGCCACCCACGGGCCTTCCACGCCCATAATAAAAATTTAATGATGACAATGTCAATACATGGCGGCTCGTTGGTCTAGGGGCATGATTCTCGCTTTGGGTGTGAGAGGTCCCGGGTTCGAATCCCGGACGAGCCCTTCTTTTTTTAATGACTTATTTGTACTTTGCAACTTTTCTCTTTTCAAATAAAAAAGGTAAAAATATATTTATAATATACATGTATATTTTCTTTGTCATTTTTTCTTACATTTCAAAATACAATACACTACACATGACTACAATGGATCGATACAATAAAAATACATTCCGATTAATGTTTTAGTGAAGGGTTGGACGTCCCCCCTAAGTCACAGTGTAAGTTAGAACTTCAAAAAACTTGCTGCAAAGAAAAGGCGTAAGCTTTCCTAAATTGTTACATTGACCCCTGCAGGATGTTACCAATTTTCATTTTTTCTCGTGAACATTTTTTCAAAACTTGCCCTGAAGAACTGTTCCTTCTTCCCGTTATACGAATGTTCTTTACAGAGAGACTTATAAATATCTCCCTTTTATAAATTCGTGACGATCTATTCTATACTATACTATATCTACTGGTACATAATAGACAGGTATCTTTCTAGATTTACAGACATATGTTTTTTCTGAACCCTGGCGTTTTCAATTCCCTTTTTGAAGAGATCGGTCGATGCACCAACATCGCGAACCACAATAACTGTTTGGTTCGCGATGTAGGAACTCAATGCGCGAGAGAAGTAAGTTCGGGGAGAGGGGAACTGCTGGTTTGCGACTTAAGCATCGATATTCGCGTTGTGAGAACGTGGTTCGGGGCCAGCGAGGTGGGAACTGACGACCGAATGAGTGGAAGTCTAGGAGGCCTGAGTCTGGACATAGTTTTTTAGCTAACATTCGGACTACAAAAATGCTCAGTGAGACTAACCCGATAGTGTAACAAGTACCATTATTACTTTGGTTTTATTAGTTTATGGTTTGGCTTCGCTTATTCCCATATTTAGTAATGTTTAAAGCTCGGATGAAGATGATGCACGGACGATAAACATCTAAACCAATTTTCATGATCGAGATCAAATAGTATCAGTTATTTAATTAAAATTTAGAAAAGGGTATACTCGTTGCCTAGATATTAATGTATTTGGTCAACTTTTATTTCGACTTAATGATGAAAATATCGACATTGTTACTCCCTTTCATCTCATTGTATGAACTATATTTGTTTGGTCATTAATCAGTTCTTCCGATCTTAAAGACAGAATCAGATCTATAGGGGTTACAAAATCACAAGCAACGTGTACAATTGACCTCTCCAATCTATTCCTAACAATCTCAAACACAATACAATGTATCTCCCAAAAGATTCACGATATGCTATAAATTGGTGATGTTAATATTGTTTCAAAGTGCAAAAATGGCTGAAAATGTTCTTATAGGTAAATAATACATAATTGTAAAAATCTTTAGTTTTCCTGAAATAAAATGTGCACTTCGGGGATTATTAGAAAATAGACATGACACATAATACCCTTTGCATTCGTTTGACTTCACTTCTTAAAAGAGAGCTTCGTTTAACTAGACTCTGCACGCAGGGTAGACACATAATGACATGAGCCAGGAATATTTGTTGGATTTAGTTAGAGCCCTAATTTTCTCAAGAGCTCTCGCCTAAGAGCGCTTAGCTAAAACGTTTTAGGACCCTAGTCATAACCAAGACGTCTTAGCGTTAAAACGTTTTACAAGTGAGTGTAAATCCATCGTTTTTAGCTAAGAGCTCTTAGCCCGTTTTTTTGCATTGCGCCGAACGAAACTTTGAAACTTTCCATTTACATATGTCGAATGGTCCTTTCTTTTGTCTTATCCCTTGTTCCCAATATCATCCCAAAATCATTGAGAAGAACTTATTTTCCTGGCGATTTATCATAATCCTAATTTATGCATAAAATCTTCCTGCTCTCTTTCATGCTTTTTACAATGCTGTCTTAAGGACATCTTTTTGTGAGACCGATGCATTCTTTAGTACAAAGTATAGAAGCGGGAAAGCAATAGCTATATTGACTGAACCATCCTTCAACCAGTACTGAACTGCTTATTTTATTTTATATGTATACCTACATATCTCTCTCAGACGTTTAAGAAAAACAGGTGTAAACTCAATCATATTTCGTAAGATGTCTTGAAAATGGTGGTGTAAACTAAACATAATTTTTCTAAAACGTTTTAGTCAAGACGTCTTGGAATGCCGCGTGTAGTGTAAAAAGGGTAAAATTGAAACAATTTTTTGTTGGCCTGCTCGCTATATCTGATTCTCTCTTTAATGGAGAGAATCAGATATACTGTACATGACGTTATTCTGATTCAAAATGTCATAACAAACTATTGTACATCATCCAGTGCCAGTTGGCTAGATATAAGTTAGATATTCGTTTCGAAGTGATAATATCGACATTGGACAATTATGTTTTACATATTCATTCAATTAACGTGCGAATGAAACGTCTTCAATCTTAATTGGTATGTAATTCAATAAAAATCCAAAATACCATATCCATGTGTGCGATTCATTATTTTAGATCATAAATGGTTGAACACTACAGAGTGCCTGACATTGTTGTGATTACACTGGGATCAATTTCATTCTGTGTCCCCGTTTTTTTCCTCAGAGCCTTGCGATAATCCTTGTTCATCGTGAATATAAGAATTGGGTTTAGTGTTGAGTTGATATAAGCCATCCAGTATGATGCTTCGTAGGCTTTCGATGGGATACAATCTGGACAAAATGCGCTTATGGGCCAAAATAAACAGAAAGGCAACCAACAAACTAAGAAACACACTATAACTAATCCCAACATTTTGGCGATGCGCTTTTCCTGTTGTACGCGTTTCTGAAGGAACGCTTGGAGGCTAACCGTGTTAGTTTCCAAATTCGCGGTGACATTTCCCTCTCTGATTGTTGAATGTGTTGAAAATGTTTTTGAAAGCTTGGACCCCATGAACATATGAACAGTTCTGGAGTAATAATATACCATGATGATGATGGGCATAAAATAAACGATACACGCTTGAGTGATAACGTAAGCGTTGGATGGTAAAAAATAACAATCCATCTCGTCAATGTCTTCATCAAATGTACTCTTTATTCTGAAGTACAATATAGCAGGAAGCCAGGCCACAATTCCGATGGCCCAAACGGCGGCAATGTGTTTCAATGACTTCTTATAAGTTTTCCTTTCCTCAGCGTGATATTCCAAAGGGTTGTTGATGGCTTTGAAACGCTGATACGCGATGACATCAAGGTGCAACATAGAAACACTGCAGCAGCAGAAATCAAACAACACCCAGATGGTACAGGCAGTACTGCCCAGGGGTCAATAACCAAAGATCGTATAAACAGTCATCGCACCCATCACAATGAATCCGACCAAAATATCTGCGCATGATAAGGATGCCAAGTACATGTTAGTAACTGTTCGAAGCTTTTTAGTTGTCACTATCGCAATCACTACTAAAATATTTAAAACAACTGTTAGTAACGAAATAATTATTAGGATCCCTAATATCAACTGCCATAAATCCAACATCTCGACGATTTACTTCCTCTCTATATCAAATCCTTGTAACCGTGTTAACGCAAAATATGACCAATGATGTGTAATTTTTATGACCGAAATATGATACAAATGGCATCTGAGTTCTGAAACAATCAGGAATCAGAACTATTATTGGAGTTTAATTACACCGATATTTCCAAAGGAAACCCCCTAATCATTATTTTAGTCAAATATCACATGCATAACAACCACATTGCTATTTGTAGACGTCACCAGAAGCGTGATACTTATTACTATATTTAGACTATATATACTTTTAAAAATAGAGAAGTTAACAATTGCGACAGTATAGGGGCAGAGTCAGTTCACTTCACACACATTTTTCAGATCATATAGACATGTCGACATGCTTTAAAACAGTCCAATGGGGAATTTTAGTATGCCAGGGAAGTGTTAATATATTGCTAGGAACATATGCATAGAGTGGAGAGGCTCGTGACACTCCAAATATGGTAAATAGACATCAATTGTTTTTATTCTTGAAAAGAAATAAAATGGCAGAATATCCGAGTACTATTCATGTTTTACAGAAGGCCCCTGTATATTCTTATTGTCGTATATACGTTCATACCAGAACGGAGCTGAAAGTCGTCAATGGGGGCAATCATCAAAGCAATTAAAAACTATTGGAGTAAAGCAAATCAGAAAATCATTATTAGAGCAAACATTTTGGCATTCTATTTTTTCTTGTTTTGCCCGTCTATGCAAGAACGACTCTATTGGAGCGTTGATTTGGTGGAAGACGTTGACATTAAATTGAAAAAAAACATTAGCAAAGTAAAACACCTAGTAATCTTGAAATCAAAACAGAGGTCAAGGCCATGGTTTTTATCATGATCTGAGCTTGTATTCGCGAATGCAACTAACGCCAGTCGGCTACCAGATTAACCTACTATTTTACATTTATATTTAAATGAGTTGGTCATAAAAGACGAGGTTAATCCGGAAAATTAAAAATGCCAAATACCTATATATGAACGTTTGACCTTGGAATGACCTTGACCTCAAGTCACCTAATCTGGGTCGCCAAGCTTCTTAAAACGCCAGGTATTTTGATATTGACCATGATATGCTATTGGCCCATAAACATTGACCTTGACTTAAGGTCACCTAATCATTGGTCACCAAGGGTCACAGCAGCCCGAAGGACCTTAAATCATCGAATACCAAGATATTGGCCTTTGATCTAGGAATGACATTGACCTAAGGTTACCTAATCATGGGTCACCAAGGGTAACATCAGCCCCAAGGTCCTTAAAATGCCAATTACTTAGCTATTGATCGTTGACCTTGAGATGACCCCGATCCATGAAAATTGACCTTAACCTCACCTAATCATTGATGGCCAAGGGTCACAGCAACCCCAATGACAGCAGTCCCAAAGGTCCTTAAAACGACAAATACTTAGATATCGACCTTGAGAGTGACCTTTACGTCAGATCGCCTAATCATGGCTCGACAAGGGTCACACCAGCTCCCAAATGCATTAAAACGCCAAATACCAAGATATTGACCTTGGAATGACCTTGACCTATATAGTTGACCTTGACCTCGAGTCATCTAATCGTGGGTCGTCAAGAGCAATGGTCTTAAAAGCCACAACCTAGATATTGACTTTTTACCTTAGAATGACCTTGACCTCTGACCATCGTAGAATGCCCATCGACACACTTAGTTGAACAAGTATGAGGGCCCAAGGTCTAGGAGATGTCCGGACAGAGATATCCGAACAGACGGGCGGCCGGGCGGGCGGATGGATGGGCAGACAAGCAGACAGACCACCGTGTTTTGAGTAAGATAATTGCAATAAATAGAATACCATTATGTTGTACACAGGGACTGTACCAAATTAAGCATGACAGATGACGCACGGGGTATGGTACAACACTAGGGTAATGACATTTGAGAAAACTGATGTTTTCATCGTTTCCTAAAGATCTGGTCTAGTTTGTAGATATTCTTGTCTTTAGCAACATCCTAAACAGTGAACTTGACAGTGAATTTCATAGTTAAACCTTCACAAACTCATAATGTAGTATACGGTATAGTTCACTATGAAATTCACTGTCAAGTTCACTATCTCGGATATTGTTACAGACATTTACATCTGAAACGATAAGAAACATCAGTTTTCTTCAATTTAATCACCCTCGTGTTGTACCATACCCCGCGCGTTCAACTGTCACTCTTAATTTGGTATAGTCCCAGTGTTGTACTGCGTACGTGAATGTTGATCACCCCTTTATAAGAATACACAAATCTGCATAAATAATTGTTTTTGTTCTATTAGAAGAGTTCATCTATGAATTAGAAAACAACATAGGGGTGGAAGCATCATGCTATTGCAACCATCTGTTGCATCTGGAAAAAGTTTAATATGACTCATTCTAAACGAAATCGATCGAATTAATAAAACCAGCATAATTTATTTCAGCACAATGTTATAATTGCAATATGGTAGACGCACAATTATCGTTTTGAATTTCTCAATTTAGGATTCAGGATTATCTGTACATATTCAGAAACAATATCATTTATACTAGTACGGTTTTAGAGTATCAAAAATTATGTGGCAAACAACTATTTCATCAACAATAATTTATTGTTAACACACGTATACATCGGACTACCAGACTAGAAAGCCAGACATAAATATTCAAAGATGTTTTGACTTAAAGAAACTCCGATATATAAAACTAACGCCACAGGAGCATACAGCTAATAAATTTGTCAAATTCTACAATATTTTGAAATGGCTGGATACTTTGGAACTGAGCAGAGTCTGTTAGATGAAGAGTAAGTTACGTTGATAATATTACAATATTACATACTCATATCCTCATTAGATATCCTCACCGTGTTTCTTTTATAAAATGACAATGCCTAATGTTTCTTTTAGAAAATGACAATGGTTTTATTGATCTATTATAAACTGATGATGTACAATGTTTCTTTTTATGAAGTTGCCTTAATGTTTCTTTTACAAGTATCCATACTTAATGTATGTTTGATTTTACCTATAGGATACTTGGCCACAAGTTGAGTAATGTTCTACTGATATTAGGAGTTCTCTTGGCCCTTCTTATCTGCATATGGATCATATGGAACTATTGTTCTGGCAACGAGACTAAAAGCTCTTCCCAAGATTCGGATGAAACACAGAGGTTTATCATTGCCCAAGAGGTCCAACCGGGTCTCCTTGTAATCAAATCAACGTATGACCATAACTTCAGGATAATGAAGGAATACGAGGAGATGAGCGGGCGACCAGTGGCCAGTTATGGAGCGATGGCTCCCCCTAACGAGCGACCAGGGAGGCGGTGTTCCACCACATATGACACTGTGCCATGTGTACCACAAGCAGCACAGGTTAATCATAATCTGATTGAGATAGATAACACTCAGACAAGACCACCTCCTTATGCCCAAACACAGGGACGGCATCAATAGAATTTCAGACCTGGGATAATATATATCAATTCACCCTATACACGTTATATACAAGTTATTGCGTACCTCCTCTTGGAGGAAGGGGTCAGAACGTACCTAAATACAATACACTTATATAAGGCCATCGTGGTGGATGCATGTACATATTATCAAGAACTAAATTTTGTTTTTTACTAGCATATAAGTATTTTGTATCATCGTATTTTTTATTCATCCAAGAATTATTTTAGTTGTAAGAATGACATTTCCCTTGAATACGACATACATCAGGATGTGTCATCTGTCTAATTGTATTACCATTAATCTATGCAAAAATAATGCTTCCATTTCAACATGCCAATCATCAGAAATTGTTTGCAATATTTACAATACAATAAAGGAGATACCAAACAAATGAATGAGTACGACAATAGCTGAGCTGCATATGGCCTTACTTCACACCAATTAATACAAAAAAAAATTAATTTAAACTTTATTTAACTAACAACATATTTACATAAGAGGCATGTTATCTTGTAAAATACATAGAAGAAACGGAAGAAATTAAACTGGATCTTGGTGTTTAAAATACACACTCAGATAATATTTCAATTTGTACTTTTAATTGAATTCTATTTCATTAATTTAATTTCATTATCACATTGTCCCCTTCGCCTGTGATAATGAATGCATTTTAGTCATTATAACACTTGTTGATGAGATTACATCTTCAATTATTTGTTTTAGATTTTCGAACCAAATAAGTTAAGGACAGATAAAACAGTTCGTTATTGTGGTGGTACATATGTGGTAATAATATATGTATCATACATGTGGATAAGCTTCTAATATGTTCGTCACTGCATTGAAATTGAATCTTCCCACAAGAATATCAATAACACTTAATTGTTTTTTCACAGCTGATTCAATCGATTGTTTGGACTGACATTTATAGTGTTGTTTTTAGATCTACACTAGATCTACAATATGCATATTTACATAAAGATACCAAAACGGTTTATTGCATTATCAAATTGTCCATTATAAAAATCCGAGTATAACCAATGTAAATGTTATGAATATCGCAGTTGCTGACTTGGCTGAGGCTGCACCAACTCCCTGGCCTGTACAAAATAGAGTGAACTCCAATAATTATTGTATCACAATAGATCATTTAAAATAATTGGCTATTTTCATTTACATTAAATATACAATTATAGTCAAGGAGGATTAGATCCCAGAATGCAATTCCAATTTTCTGCCATATATGGTGTTATTGCGTCATCGTTGCCATGTACAAAATTCAAAATTAAACAGCCGCCATTTCTCGATCTTTCTCACTTCAGACTTTGAATCTCGAGATTTAGTTTTATTACCTAACAAAAAAATGGAACAAACAAGAAATGATCAAGATATTAGTTTAAATATTTTGATTGCTAATTGCGAATTTAAATTAAGGATAATGCATGAGGATTCGATTTTTTAACCTGCGAGCCGCAGGCCCAAGGCTATTATTTCTTATAAAATCTAATCCGAATGCATTGTCTAACTTTAATCATACACAGACTCTTAGTGAAGGCAAATGGTCTATTAAAGTTAAATGGTCTATGATCTAATCTGGAGAGTTTGATTTCTTTTGTATTGACTATTCAAACTGCGAAGCATGCAAACTGCAACAGGGCTCCTGGTACATGGTACATGTACATTTTTATATTGTTTTTAAATGATGGAAACTTGACAAAATATCAAACACTGTCAATCCTCTTTTGTGCCACACTGGTTTGTGATAGAGTGCCAAGTGTGCATTCTAAAAAAACAATAGAAAAATAATTCACTCTTCTTTGTTACAACTGTTCATTCTCAAAAATAAAACACAGCTCATTCTATTATGTTGCTACAAGTGTGATTTAACGTCAGATAAATGTCTGACAATAATGACGCCAGCTTTGTTGGAAAATATCGATGTTGCATTCTGGCTGCCAATCCTCCTTGAATTATAGTATTACAATACTAATTTCCTGGAGTTGAATTCTTGTTGATAAGAGACTATATGCCATCGCATCATTTTCATTTATACAGACGGAATTTGCAATGGCTACACATACCTTTTAAGGTAATAAATTTGCCTACACATTCCTTTTAAGGTAATAAATTTGCCTATGCATACCTTTTAAGTAATAAAAGTGTGAATCGGGCAGAATAATTATTAAATACATTGAATCTTACTTGTTCGTGTGAGGTGAATTTTAATGTCGCCAAAGTCAGTGTCAGTTAGGAAGAATTCTGCTTTGTATCCATTGCCATTTTTGATAAATGTGATGTCTCCTAACTGTGCCTGGACCACTTGCCAGACTGTCAGAACAGTACAGTACCTACAATAACATCATCAAAGTAGTTTAGTTGTAGTCATTGTCAACGTATTGATTCGTGTTCCCTTCTGATGGATCATAGACAGACTTGATGGTATGCCAATGTTCAGATTCTATTTTTCCAGGTAAAATATGAGAGAATTCTTGATGATTTTACAATCTTGCTTACTTTCCAACTTTATTAGAATTTGCACAAGGATAGATGTACATGCTACACAGCGCCTTATCTGGTTGAATCATTGTGGTTGAGGCATAGACATTTTGGAATGGTAGATCGTCACGTTTGATGGGACGCCCAGCAATTCCTTCAACAATAGACTTCAATGGTTCAGGAACTTCTATATCAACGATGGAGTACATTCCCTCCCATGGTTGTTTTGTTTTGGGAGGAGGGAATACAGGTATTCTAAAATAGAATTAGAAATAGCCTCAGAATTAGATTTGTGCATAGCAGTGGGGTATAATAGAGCCATGTTATGTGAAAATCATCAAAATGCAAAAAAAACAGAAAGAAAATGAGTTTGTTCGAAAGGAAAATGAATAAGATCCCTTGATATGAATCAATAATTTGTAAAACAAAATATCTACCTTCTATTGAACTCTATATTTGTGTTATCAATAGCATCATTCCAATTGTAAACGACCGATACAGCACGGAATATTTCCCCAAGTAGGAAATGGCCGCGAGCACAATCCTGGTTGGACATGACAACCAAACCTCGTCCGTCTGTGTTGGCTATAACTTCACTACAATACCCCTCACTATATCCGGTATTCACAAACCAGGTATCTCCATTTTGACCATCGACTACTTCAGTCCCTAATCCGAACATGCCATTTTCGGTAGCAGGGGGATTGCCCTGACCATTCTTAGTTTGTTTTGTAAGCATATTATTTGTTGAGGTAGGATCTAAATAAAAAAATTTCCAATCAAAATCCAAATTAAAGAGTTAATTTGAGAGTCACCACGTGCACATAGTGCATCTTTCAATTTCATCCCTCAAGTCAATAGCATACAACACAAGAAACAATGTTATTTAAAATAACACAATGGAATTAATTTAAGGCCATGGCTGGAGAGCCTTAACTTTTAAAACTCTAAAGCATTTTGGTAACCCATTAGGCTAGAGAGCCTTAAATGTTAAGGTTCGTTAGCATTTCGGCTAAAGATCCTTAAATTTTAAGGCTCTTTAGCATTTCTCCAGACACTTCGTTAATTTAAAGTGATGTTAGCTGATACTGATTATATATTTCTTTATGTTGTCGTATCAAGAAAGAGCTATTTATACGTTGTAACTGTTACACCTGTGAATAACTGTTATTCTTACTCAGGATTGAGCCTGGCATGTGATTTTTACCACCAGCAACATTGATAACAAGGTTGGCAAGATCGTTTACGTTGGTCCATAAGCCTTGGGCGGCAGACTCGGGGAAATTCCACCATTTTCCTAAATTCAGTACATGAAAATAAACAACACAGCCTAAAATATGACATTTGAAAATGACATAATCCAAAATCCTGTAATATAATCTAGGAAACAAAGTTTGGATTTGTTAATTTATTTGTCGATGCTTTCAATGAATCTACAATGCCAAGTTTTTTTCAATAAAGTATAGGGAAAAGTATACAGCAGGATCAATGCAAGTTACAACAAGAATGTAAATATATACAAGTACAAGTAACATAGTGTAACATTACTTTTTTAAAAGGTAGCTCACCTGGGACTAAAGTGTCCTTGTCACTGAGGCAATCATAGCCATATGCAATACCATATGAATTACTGGGACTTTTTATGTCAAATGTACTAGATCGCATCGACGCCTTATCCAAGACCTGTAATACATAAAGGCGTGATTTCATAAACTAATCGTCAAGTTGAGTTACTGAGTATTGATACCTTAACCTCCACTCCTAAGAGCATGTTCAATCGCTAAATTAAACACGTATGAATCAAAGGTCAAAACAGACAAGTCCCAAAAATGTTTAAACGTTAAACATTTCTAACATTATGCTCTTGGTTTTGTTACTTCGCACTGGATGTCAAAATATTGGATTATATCACTTACCAATCTTTGTACCAATTGCTTGAAAGGCTGATTGGTTTGATCTTCGAGAATTTGCTGCAAAACAGCATAACCTCCCGAAGAGTAGTCTTCTTGCTCTCCTAAATATAAAAATACTTACAAATATATGGTATGCATGTATGTTGTATTACCCATGTACTGTAAACAATGATTAAGCACGCCTCCTCAAACAAGATCCAAATTATTGATAAAGGTCGTGTGTCATAACTGACAAATGCATAGAGATAATAATAATTCTGTGAGAATGACACGAAAATATAATTTGAGGTGAAGGCTAAGTAAATCTAAAGTACAAAAAATGGCAGCCATAATCTTTAGATTGAGACACATGGTTTTAAGATCTGTTTTCCTTGTATATGAATGTATATCTTGACTAAAGAGACATGTCAAAGTGAACATCACACATGAACGTATTTTTCATATGAGTTCCTAAAGCTAACATGAAAACTGTGAAGTGAGGTTAATTTTTGAAAACTTCAAGGAGTATGGGTGCTTCGGTGTCACATTTGTACTCCAAAAGACTTACTTTACCAAGGAACATCAAAGGAGCATGAAACTATGGTTTGAGTTTTATTATACTCTAACATAATACAAGAAGTGCACATTTCCATGCTCCTTCGATGTTACTTGGTAAGCTAAAATGATTTGTGGAAATTTTGGATTCTTGCAAATGTGTGACTGTTGCAAGGCTACTCCTTGAAACTTTCAAAAATTAGCCTCGCGTCACAGTCTTCATGCTAGCTTTGGGGACCCAAGCACCTCCAATTCATAGTTATGAAATGCGTTTAAATGTGATGTTTTCTTTGACATGATTCTTTAGTCAGGAAATGCATTCACATATAAGGAAAACAGATCCAAAATCTTGTGACTTTATCAAAAAAAATATGGCTGCCATTTCTTATACTTTTGATTAATTTTACTGTTACCTTAAGCGCTTTCTTTTTTATTTACAATCTCACCTTGTCCTAATGGTTGGTCTCCAAACCCTAACAGATCGTTTGAAACTGCAACTTTCTCATTATTAGCAGGAGATTGACCATTCAGAGTCTGCAATAAGTTTGGCATCCGACTTGACTGGAAAATAATTATTCAAATCACCGTGGATAATATCTTGGTTGTTATTCTTTGACTGTTTTGGCAACCAGAATCTCCATAGCTTTCCTGGTGACATTAACACAGAAGCGTGACATTGACATTCTGTCACATTGTCTTCAACCTTCAAACACTCATTTAATAAAGCGTTTGCCTTTGACCTTTGGCTTCAATACCCAATGATTCACAAAGTGCAGTTATACCAGATGTAGTCTCTTATATTTAACGGCAGATGAGAAGGAAAGCCGCAGAGATAGACAATCGCTGCTTATAAGATTCATCACTGACTTTTCAGGTATAAGGTGTTACCTGTTGATAACCATCGAACTCCAGAACAGTAAGGCCGCCATTATGGGCCAGTAGATGCTTAAGTTTCACGCCATCCTTTTGCTGGTTGTTGTAGGTCATCTAAAAAGACAAAATAAATTTTTCATTGAAGGCAAGAGAGCCTTCACCTCGTTCGTTGAGCTCCATCCTTCATCTCATGTCCGTTTGGTGTTTTGTACGATACACTCGTACCTTGACGGTTTTGATCTAGGCTACGTTTTGAATCACCCGCGACGGTGGTGCATTGTGTAATAGGTAATAATAATTCTTCCAGGTATCAAGCAAAGAACAAAAAGTCATGTTGCGCAAATTACGTGGTCGCATGCTTTTAACAACAAAAAAATGTTCTTTTTTGTGATACCTAAAGGGAAAACTTAAATGGGTTGAATGACTAACTACACCCATTCGTCTGGCTCAGACATCGAAACAGAGGAATATAAAGATTTAACATTTAGTTTGATATTTATTTCGGAAAATTGTGGATTGCACATATAAGATCAGACTAAAAGTTGGAATTCTTGACATTATTACCTTCCATGATCGTAAGAGAGTGTTAACATCAGCTTCTAGATCAAGTTGACCTTGTTCCACAAGAGACAAGGTGGCGATTGCAGACACGAAACTGCTCAACGTACCAGCTTGATAGATGGTGTCAGCAGAGGCTGGGACACCTGAGACAAACACATATACATGTATATACATCACGTTTTGTCACAAAGGATAGATTCGGAGAAAGGGCTTGGGTCTGAAACTATGTTTGGGTTTCATTTTCAAATAGACATCATCTTTGAAAGATCTTTTTCTCAGCCCCACATCAATATATCTTTGAAATCGCCAACAAGAAAAAAAGTTAACATGTAATTTTGATTGAGATGTGAGTCTCTATTTTCCAAATCTTGCTATTTGTACATTGATAATATCGGAACACTAAATACCGATCGTGTGAAAGAAATTATGCTCTCCTGGTAAATGACCTTCATATTCTCTGATTAAATTAATATAGGGAAGTTTTTAATGATAAAAACAAATATGTAAATCAATGATGGGACTAACTATGTCATAATAGGACATGGTCAGATAAATGTTCACACCAGTAGCGGAATAGTCCATACAAGTAACCTTGATATCATTTAATGTATTATCGTACCAGGCTGTGCCATTCCAAACCCATCAGCCCAGTCAATCTGGTAGTTGTTGATGACAGCTATAGATACACCAGGGACAAACCATTTCTCCATTCGTTGTGCAAGAGTTTGTGTCTCATCTGTCCTTCCAGGTGTGTGGATATAGTGTTCAAATGGCAGGAGATTCTGTATCACAAGCTGTTTGTTCATTTCTCGATCTATTGGTGAGGGTGTAGTTAAGCTGGGAGGAGGTGTTGCAGAGCCTACAAAGGATACAGCATGCTCTATAACAAACCCAACACCGCATACAACGCCATAGCTTTAGCGTTGATACGATGACGGACAGAATATTCGATAACATCCCCACGTCCCATAGGGGACACCATGCATGTATAACCTAGACTGTTCGAAAGGTTTACCTGTTCGAGTTGCATGAATTTTTGTGTCACCAAACTCCGTATCTGTGAGGAAAAACTCTGCTGTATACCCTCCTCGACCATCTGGTATAAAGGTTATGTCTCCTAACTGGGCGTTCACGACCTGCCATATAGTCAGGACAGTACAGTACCTAAATAAATTATTGCTTTGGCATATAGTATATCCACTAGTCGAACACCAAGTAAGAAATGCTCAAATCATCAAATTGTATTAAATCATATCAAATTATTTAACTTACACAATACAGCAAAACACTATTCTATCTCAATCTCAAAATATATTTTTAATATATGACCAACTTTAAGACAGTGTTTACACTTACTTCCCAATTTTATCAGGGTTTGCACAAGGGTAGATGTACATGCTGCATAAGTTCTTATCTGGCTGAATCATTGTCGTGGAGGCATATATATTCTGGAACGGTAGATCTTCACGTTTTATAGGGCGTCCAGCGATTCCCTCAATGATAGACTTTAGAGGCTCGGGGACTTGTATATCGACGATCATATAATTCCCCTCCCATGGTTGTTGAAATGATGGAGCGGGTTTTACGGGCATTCTAAACGCAAACAGCATACATGTATTTTATGTATTCTTAATGCTAAAAGTAACATAAGATATATTATAGTTTGAAAATGTTATGGTACCTGCTATTAAATTCTATGTTTGGGTTGTTAATAGCATCTTGCCAGTTATAGACTACTGAGACAGCACGGAATATTTCCCCAAGTAGGAAATGTCCACGAGCGCAATCCTGGTTGGACATCATAACCAGACCTCGTCCGTCCGTGTTGGCTATGACTTCACTACAGTACCCCTCGCTATATCCGGTATTCACAAACCACGTGTTTCCGTTCTGGCCATCGACGACTTCCGTTCCCAGACCAAATATTCCATTTTCAAGAGCTGGTGGATTTCCCTGACCTTGCTTAGTTTGTTTTGTAAGCATCTGAGCAGTAATCGAAGGATCTAAAATATACTTTTTTATCATAATTCTACTTATTGCATTAATTTATATATATAAATATGCATATTTCCTTGGATCAAAAGAAGACGAGTTTTTAGATTCATAGTTAACAATTCAGCATTTTAAAACAGTTACAACTCCTGTATTTCAATTCATGCCTATGTACTACAGTACATCAAGTAATTAAGATTATGTGAAAACGTACTCAAGATTGACCCAGCCATGGAATTTTTACCACCAGCAATGTTAATCACCAATTTTGCAAGATCTATCACATTTGTCCAGAGACCTTGAGCAGCAGATTCTGGGAAATTCCACCAATTCCCTAAAAGAAATACAGAATTATAGTTTCATATGTCCAGTCTGCGCTTACAATAGAGTTCTCAACACAATTTTACATTCAAATGCTGCTATATATAAAACGACGATAAAATAAAATTGCATGTTTTAGTGTTGATAATTCAGAATAGCTAGATATAAATCAGGCTACCTTCCACGACAGTGTCTCTATCACTGACACAGTCATACCCAAAAGCCAAGCCATATTGGCTACTTTTGATTTCAAACGAACTGGACACCATTCTAGCCCTGCCAAATACCTGAAACGTAGGAATTTAAAAAATGATTCTGATTTTGATATCTGTCATTTGATCCTTTCTTCAACCCTATAACGTGTATTGTTTGTCCCATATACTGGTTCAACAAAATGCCAGGTCTTTATACAGATATACCTCGTTCTGTACTAAATCAACAAAGCTTTGGCTTGTCTGATCCTCGAGAATTTGTTGTAAAACTGCAAACCCTCCTGAAGAATAATCCTCTTCAACTCCTGAAAATAAAAAGGCTGCCTGGTAATTTCGCTCAACCTGATACACCTTCGACACAACTATTCTTTACAGCCTCAAAGATTCAAGCCTTGATACTAAGATAGACTATGTTTTGTATGCTTTGGACTCGTTGCAAAAATTACTTCATTTAGTGTGAATTCAAGGTCTGTGTAATCTAACCTTGTCCAACCGGCTTTGGGTCAAGGCTCAGGTAGTCCTCCATTATTCCTATCTTCTGGTTATTCGCAGGTGATTGCCCATTCAGAGTCTGCATTAACGTCGGCAGTTGACTTAACTGGAATAACCATGGACTTTATTTACAACTTGAAAAATGAAGTGTAAAATCAATATGGAAATGTTGGGTAAAATTGTCGCTCATATAACGTGGCCGCTTCCAGTATTTTAAATACTTATCTTGGTTTGCATCACTCGTTTTAATAATGTCCTTTAATATAACATGTATTGCACTATTATGTGTTATACTGATTAGGTCTGTTTCTGTATGTTTGGCGGTTTATTGTTATACCTGCTTATATCCATCAAATTCATCAATATCAATTCCACCATTGTGGGCCAATATATGTCTTAGTTTTACACCGTCCTTTTGTTGGCCATTGTAAGTCATCTGTAAGCGAAATGGTGAATATTCATGTTAATGATAAATCTCAAGTTTGTTCAGAAATGTTTCCAAAAGTGCATTTGCTTACACGGTGCTACTAAAATTGCTGGAGATCCAGGTCAGATGTCGTACACATACAAAACTACTCAAAAGTGGTCATTTAATAACTACCATCGAATTACCTTAAAATTCTGCAAAAGTGTGTTAACATCAGCCTCTAAATTAAGTTGACCCTTTTGCACTAATGACAATGCCGCGATTGAAGACACAAAACTACTGAGTGTACCAGCTTGGTATAAAGTGTCAGCACTTGCAGATACCCCTGGAATAAATAAAGATTATATGAATGACCGTTGATAGTACATCGCTGAGTTTATGCCCATATCCCTAGTCTCAGTAATTCATTAAACGTAAACCTGATGCCTATTTTTAAAAAAAGAATGAGCTATCACTGGTCCGTGTCAATATGACCAATGCATGCAATAATGAATAAGAAAATAGGTACCGGGCTGTGCCATTCCAAATCCATCAGCCCAGTCAACTTGATAGTCTTTGATAACGGCAATAGATACACCCGGAACGAACCACTTCTGCATTCTCTGTTCGAGATTCTGGGTCTCATCTGTCCTCCCTGGGGTGTCCACATAGTGTTCAAATGGTAAGAGGTTGTGAATCACGAGGTTTTTATTCCTGTCACGGTCACCTGGTGACGGAGTAGTTCCACCTGGTGGGCCTCTGGTAGGAGCTCCACCTTAAGAAAGTGGTAATTCAGATAATAGCAAGAAAGAAAGATGGGCATAAAGCAGGAAAGGCATGAATTAAGAACATCCATGTAATATATCTTAAAGCAACCCAAAAGAGTACACGTGTAAATAACGTGAATATAGTTTAGTTTAGATTAGTTTAATCTCTAAGATGCCCAGGATTAGTGAAAAGACTTTGTAACAAACCTGTTCGATGCCCATGGCCTATTATATCACCAAAATCTGTAGGCATAAGGAAAAATTCAGCTTTGTACCCATTTGGTCCATCGGGGATAAAAGTGATATCTCCTAGTTTAGCACGTGTTACTTGCCATATAGTAAGGACTGTGCAGTACCTGGAACATGATGTATCCCGAAGTTGGTGGATTGTCTCACCCTTAAGTTCTAAATGAAAAGGCCGATGTAAAAGGGTAGGTGGTCCTATCAGATTTTGGTCCTACTCGCTATTGATTTATATGGTGACCTAATTACAATTATTTTCCCTATTATTTATACACAGTCGGGGCCAGTAAGGGCTGTAAGGAAAAGGGACCATAATCCCCAGGGGACCATAATTTATTTTACGCCGGTATGGAAATGTTCGTAAAACCTATATCTGATCAAATACTTACTTGCCAATTTTGTCAGGCCTTGCACATGGATATATGTACATACTGCATAAGTGCTTATCAGGTTGGATCATTGATGATGTAACATAAACATTTTGAAATGGTAGGTCGTCTTTTGTGATAGGTCGCCCAACAACATCCTCCAGTATACCCTTTAGAAGTGGTGGAACCTGGATGTCATCAATCACATAATTACCTTCCCATGGTTGTGGAGAGGGCGGGGCTGGCCTGACCTGCATTCTAACAAAAGGCAAATTACGAATATACAGTATTAACAAGGAATCACATTGGCCATGGGAAAAACAAAATAACTCAACTAGAAAACGGAATAACAAAATGCAATCCCATAGCAATGATCAAACCCACCTGACGAAATAACAATGGCAAGGGAGCCCATCATCCATCACCAGATAACTATTATATTTAACATAAACATTTTCACCGTGGAAATGAAGCTACGAGCAGTACAATTAGAAATTGTATTATTTGAAGACTGTCTGACTTTATTACCTTTTGTTGAATTCGATTTTCGAGTTGCCTATGGCATCCTGCCAATTATAAACCTGTGCCACAGCACGGAATATTTCCCCAAGTAGAAAATGGCCACGTGCACAATCCTGGTTGGACATAAGAACTAATCCACGGCCATCTGTATTTCCTATAACTTCACTACAGTATCCTTCACTATATCCGGTATTCACAAACCACGTGTTTCCGTTCTGCCCATCGACTACTTCTGTGCCAATTCCGAACATGCCGTTTTCATTAGCAGGTGGATTGCCCTGTCCTTTCCTCGTTTGTTTAGTGAGCATTTTAGCAGTTGTAGCTGCATCTGTGATAATGCATTAGTGTGTTTTAATTTTTTTAGAGATTCGACAACAACAATTCACCGCATACGAAAATTGTTTCGGTATGGATAAATAAACATATTTCTTGATTTACAAGATTTCCCTGAAACCCGTGATCGGACCAACTAATAAGTACCAGTATAAACGAAGGTCATGTGGAACTATGATCATGACAGGACATAACAGAGCCATTGGTATACTTCACAGGGAAGTAGATGCCAGCTCTTGAGATTCAACTTACTTAAAATAGACCCAGGTCTTGAGCTTTTGCCACCAGCAATGTTGATGACAAGGTTGGCAAGATCTTTCACATTTGTCCAAAGACCTTGAGCAGCAGATTCGGGGAAATTCCACCAATTCCCTGAAATATATAATAGCTGAGATAATTGGTCCGCCACAATACTACTCTTGTATGATATAGGGTAGTAAAGACAAACACGAATGGGAAGAACTTGAAATAAATCCATTCAAGAAAACCAAATGAACGAAAAACTAAGGTACGCCAAAGAGCATTTATGTAACACATATTGTAGATTTGTATGAATGCTGTTTGATTTGTTTACCTGGTACGACGGTGTCCCTTTCACTGATGCAGTCATAACCATAAGCCACGCCAAAAGCATTACTCGGACTTTTAATATCAAATGTACTTGACGACATACTTGCTTTACCTAAAACCTAAATCATAAAATGGTAAATGAAAAATAATTCAATTAAGGCATTTTTTAAGGAATTCTTTTTGTCACATTGATATATCCCTCCCTCCTCTTTCCATTTATCATCAATCCATTATTTTGTGATCAAACCTGTGTTTGAGTTTTGCAACAACCTAAGCAATTCTAACTACCTCGGTTTGCACCAACTGTTTGAAATCCTGACCCGTCTGGTCTTTGAGGAGTTGCTGCAGTACAGCATATGCGCCTGATGAGTAGTCCTCCTCAACACCTGAATGGCATATAGCAACATTTCAATACATGTATGCATGTGCTCATTATCAACAACTCAATAAGGTGTGTCATATATATAGCTTGAAAACTGTTATTGCCCCTGTCCATAAAGTCCCTTTGCACATGGCCCTACTACATAGGTACCCGTATAGATATCTCGAGTGTTATTGACATTTCGGCTTATCTCTACTAATCCACTCGAGTTAAGCCTTTAAGTCAACAAACCGACCCTTCGCTAACCCTAAGGCCCGATAAGAGGCTTCCTAGCCCCCGAAAATCGACCCTATTTCCCTCCCCCACCACGCCCCTACCCTGGGTATAGTTAGGGGTGAAGTCTTCTAGGCCTAACCTAACCCCCCTAAACACTTTGGCGCGGGTCCCATCTCTCTAGCTCTCCCCGTTCGGGAGATAGAAATCGGGCTGTCGGAGCCGCTTTCTTTGATCTCGCCGACACCCCCCTCCCTCGCATATTCAGGCAATTTCAGTTATACCCTTACTATACTCCTCCATTCTTAACCCTAATCGCTATAACGGATAAGATCGGTTTTTACCGAACCTAACATTATAATAAAAAGTAGTAGACTGATTTCACGTCAAAATTCTCATGATACCACACAATAATTGTAAAATAAAACTCCCTAATAAATGATGTCTTTCATTTGTCGAAATGTAGCCACATCCCCACATTCTAACTTCTGTGAAGTTTTACGTTTTAAATCATATTGTCTGTGCCTGCATGTATTCTTAGCTCAAAATAGTGGCTGGATTTTACGAACTGTACATTCGATATGTACATTAAATCAAAACTTGTAATCATAATAGCATAGTAGTCTACTAACATTTTCATTCAATAATGACATAACAATAATATGTTTTTAATACATAAACAACTATATTCTGATATATTTTGTTTTTGTTTTCAATATTCTTGATGATTAAGTTAACTATCTTATCTAGCATAACTATAAACAAATAAGTTACACTACATAGTCTCTTTGAAAGGTGCAACTTTGAAAAGTATCAGAATGTGATCTTTGGATTCTGATCTGCATATCCGAAACATAACGCTTGACCAAACCATCGTTCAATTGCGTATTTGAACAGAAGTCTGGTAATATATCTTCTACACTTCGATCTGCCCTTGCACCATTGTACAGAAATGTATATGGTGTATTGTCCACACACTGATGAATCCAAGCTTTGAAGTCTAACTGCAGTCGAGATAATTTTCCTTTTTAGCTCTTTGCAAATGTTTCGAAATCTGAGTTGTAACAGTAATAAGACGGTGCGTGGCCGTAGGAATCTACAAAATACACGTTTCTTCTGCTATCTCGCTATCTCTGGGTACTATAAAGAGGCACCAATGTTGACCCTCTTGAGATGTTTTGTCTGTATTACTAACTAATATCTCGCACTTTGGAGCATTGTGTAGGACTAAGCTACGTAACTCATCGCTACCAAACACTCCGTAATGTTTATTTTTGGTTAAGTTATTGCTTTTCAAAATACAATTAATCTCCTCCGTGTTCATTTTGTCGTTAAATCAGTTGAATATAACCTTTCTGGACTTGTCTATTTCGAAGACTGTGGGGAAGACACGAACTGAAATGTTATCTTCGATACTGAGTTTACATGGTTAAGACTTACAAAGTTCAAGCAGTCAACTTATACCAATACTGCGTTGATTAAATGTAGTTTCCCGTCCATAATGACCATTATAATAAACCCATTTTCTCAAAACGCAAAGAACCATATCCTAATTGTGTTTTGTATTTTTATCGACTTTTTCATGTTTACAATAATCTTCACTAATTTAAGTATTAATAACAAATTTAATCCGCACATTCTCTTCGGAAGCTGTCAGAAGGTGATCTTTGCCTTTTTATCTGCATATTTGAACAGAAAGTTTAACCAAGCCATCGTTCACTTGGGTATTTGTACTGAAGTCTGATTATATATCTTGTACAGACCTGCCCTTTCACCATTGTACCGAAAATATATCAGTATTGTTCACATACTGAAGACAAGGCATACTGAAGTTGAGACAACGTTTCTTTGTAATCTCTTCGTAAATGTTTCGAAATCAGAGTTGTTATAAGACGGTATGTGGCGGTATGAATCTATAAAATAGACGTTGGACATTCCTCGCCTGTTCTTGTAGATAACATACTGTGCGTGTACATCGAAATTAATGCTATTGTTAAATATTCGGCCCAAATATGTAGAGTGCTTAACGCTTTCAAGGAAAGTTGTCATTAAAAGTGAATTGCATATTGGATTTTGAGAAAAAACAATTGTTATCTTGAAAGTGTTAACAATAAGGTGATACCTCTTACAGAATTTAAATAGACAATTTGACATTCTTTCAGCCCAATCTTCAATATTTGAATATAAAATTAAACCACCAGTCCAAAGTAAAAGATTTATCTGTTGACAATCAATTTAAATTTTACACTCTTTTGCTAAATACTGTGACAAATCGTCAAGGAAGTGGTTGAATAAGTAATTACTTAGCCCTGCATTATGTCGGCATATGTCTCGAAAGTAGGGGCGATACCATCTTTGAGTTTCAGACAAGTTTTCGATTTTTTATCCATTCTGAAAATGATTATGAAACTAGTTGAATTAGGTCGTATATCCAGTTTGCATGGTTTACACATTACACATATTAACATAATCGAACGCTTTTCTGAAGTCAATCTTAATTCGTTATACTAGTTTCTTTTACTCGTTTATAGTGAGATATATGAGTGCGTAAGATAAATAAAGTGTGCTTTGTCTTATTTAGATTGCGTCGACAACATTGCCTGTGTAAGCTTAAACATCTATTACTCTATAATTATCAGGATCAAACGTACTAGTATACAACCTTGCTTAGAAATAGTTTATAACATGCCTATTCCCCATTCATTTGGGTAATATACACTTAGAAAAACATGATTTAAAGAATGGTGATATAGTCCATGGTATGAAATCTTTAGGACGTCTAATAAAGGAGCTGGCAGCACACTATAGCGCAGCGATATTTGAACTAACATTAACATACCTACATATGTTCCCTAATAATTTTTATAATAACCGTTTAATATACTTCCAGCTTTCAGGCTGAATTATGCCTGCCATTAACAGAGGTAAAATGAAATCCCAATTTTTCCCAATTTGGAGTACACAATGCAACAGAAAATAATACAAAATGATTTTAAATATATGATTTAGGTTTCTAAGCTATAAATTTGAGGTTATTTTTCTTATCGATACCAAGAAATTATGTAATCAGTGTATCGACGCTTTGTATTGTTTCTCAGGTATTAATAAGATAAATGTTACAAATGAATCATTTTTATATTAGAATGACAAATGCTTATTAGATTATGCTAGTTTTTCACAAAATGGGTCTCAGTACGCTTTGAGATATGGACTTTTATTCAGCGGTGAACATTATCAATAAAGGAGGGCATATTGCTCTTCCTTGAATAATTGGGACTACAGCTAAATTATATTTCTCGTAGTTAGATATAGCTCAGTTGCTTATAAAACAACCAGCAAAACTTGGTCGAATTCATGAATAATTGAGAAAAATCGTTATCATTATCTTCCTAAAATCTGATTGTATCCAGCGGTAAGGTCAAAGAAGAAACAGCCACCAGAAAACTTGATGATAGCCACAAGTAATGTCGCGGAAGAATTGTAAGGCGTTCGATTGCATATGTCTCTAATTGATTATTACACATGCCCTTGGAATATATGAACATTCCAATAACTCTGTAACATTTAATTAGATATATATCTTATTCATTTTTGTATTATGTTTTATAAAACATGAACAATAATTTGTTGTTAAACTCCTTGCAATTATATGGAAAAATTCTGGTAATAAAATGTTTCAAATGGTAGGAAAACTAATATGTTCCCAATCATAAATTACCTAAATATTCCACACAATTCTGTTGAATCGGCTTGGCTCATATTTGAAAATTCAAACAAAATCTGAAAAATACACTTGCGTAATTACATTAATCAAACACCGACATCTACAGTAAAATCATAGTATATGTTTACATTATGATAATCAATTTTTTGCTCGTATGCTTAGAATAACGGTCTGTGTCTTATAAAATGTATAAAAGTTCGAATCAAAATATTTACGTTTTTTGACCCCTTGTGTTGAAAGACATTTTTCGACCCGAAAGCCGGAACTTTTTCAGCAAATGGTATTTTTAAAGAATCAAGACATATACACCTTCATAAATGTTGGTTCAAATGTTGCTGCGCTATAGTATATATACAGGGTGTCTCAAAAAATGTACCCAAAAGTATATCGAGAGCACAGATAAACCAATCGATATTTTCAGACATTTTTTGCATGGTCATGTAGCCAAAACATGAAAGTTTTCTCCCCAATACACAATATTTATTTCAGTCTTGTCTTTTTGATGCTTTAACTCTTTACCTTTTACACTACATAATCGATATAACCTCATATTTCGATGACAGACTGTATCCTTAATGCTACATTGTTCATCAAATTTGATAATAATTCCGGTGGAATGTTTTGGATTTCTCTTTGGATGTTTCCCTTAAGTTGTTCTAGGTCTTTTTGCTTGGAATAAGCATTAAAACACTCCTTCAAATAGCCACAGAGAAAGATGTTTGAGGATGACGATGACAGAACAAACACAGATAATCAGGTCACTTATCGGCAAATGATTCAGGAGTTACCTTCCAGAGTATGGCAGGCTAGCCTGGAGACCAAATCATATCCAAATGAAAACACAGTGGTCTCAAATTGATACACAAACAAAAGCTACACTAGAATCCCAAGCAATGCAGTTTCTTGAAACTCTGACCTCTCTATATAATGGGGGCTATAAGACATTGTGAGGGCCTCCCTATTCACCATATTTGACGGCCCATACTTTTTTCTCTGAGGCTATTTGAAGGACCATTTTATGCTAAACCCAAGCTAAGAGACCAAGAACAACTTAAGACCAGCATCCA